GAAACCTTTGTGAATGGCATACGTGACCCTGAGATTAAATGTGCAACATATGCGTCACCAAAAACGTCATTTGCCGAAACCGTGTCGTTTGCCCTTGCCCAAGAGACGGCAAGAATGATTGTTAAGCCCCAGACCTACAAGATTAGCCAACTGGAGACCGAATGTTGCGAACACAAATATCTCGTTAACTTGATCAAGGACGCCATGAGGCGGGTAATAGAAGAAACAAAGTTAGTAGGGATGACTAAGCCCAGGGTTAGATGCTACAACTGCGATAAAGCAGGTCATATTGCACGCGAATGCAGAGCTAAGCGCAAACGATCCAGGTCATCGTCACCACCTACAACGAAAGATGGTAGAAGAACGGCTCAACAGTCCACCAATGAGTCACCGTTGAACAGAATCGAGCACAGAGAAGACGGAAAACACGGTAATGCTGATGCCCTGTCTCGTCGGCCATGCAAGGTAGAATGCAGGCATTGCTCAAAGGCTGAGAATAAGGAGAATATCGTTGATGTCCGACTATTGCAGTTTGAGTCGGGTGAAGATTGGTCGACGGAACAACGAAGAGATCCCATTCTGGGCAAAGTAATTTCGGCCATTGAAACGGGCAAGCGACCTAGTCGTAAAGAAATTACCTCCGAAAGCCCTCTTTTAAAATCCTATTGGGCCCAGTGGGACAGTCTACTTATAAAAGATGGCTGCCTATATCGCAAATGGGAAAGTGAGGACGGTAAATCTCACCGGAACTTGATCGTCGTCCCAGACTCCAAAATAAGGGATGTCTTGTCGGAGTTTCACGATGGGCCAAGTGGAGGACATCTTGGCATAGCAAAGACCGCTGAAAAGGTGAAACAGAGATTCTACTGGGTCGGCTGTCAAAAATCCATTGCCGACTGGATCGCCAATTGTGAAAGGTGCATAAGGGCTAAAGGTCCAACACGGAAGAGTCGAGGCTACATGCAGCAGTATAATTCAGGAGCCCCTTTTGAAAGAATCGCAATGGATGTAGCTGGACCGTTCCCCACAAGCGACTCTGGGAACCGGTATGTCTTAGTGGTCATGGATTACTTCAGTAAATGGCCGGAGGTTTATGCTATCCCAAATCAAGAAGCCAGGACAATTGTGGATGTGTTCAGCAAAAATTGGATTTGTCGCTATGGTGTTCCATCTGAGGTTCATTCCGATCAAGGTAGGAATTTTGAATCAGCGATCTTCAAGGAAATGTGTGACTCCTACGGAATTAAGAAAACCAGAACGACGCCCCTACATCCACAATCAGATGGCATGGTGGAAAGATTCAATCGCACCCTTGAAGAACATCTACGGAAAGTGGTGGACAGTGGCCAACGAGACTGGGATGAGCATATTCCAAAGTTTTTATTGGCTTATAGATCGGCCATTCATGATTCCACATCCCGGACCCCAGCCAAAGTTCTGTTCGGAAATGAATTAAAGCTACCTGGCGATTTGATATTCGGTGCTACCCCAAACGACGATGTGAACCAAGATGAAGACAGCCAAAACTCTTTTAGTAAAGTCCACGATGCAGTCCGACATCGAATAAAAATGGTTAGCAACCGCATGAAGGCAAGGTACGATCGAGCGGCAAATACCGATGGGTTTCAAGAAGGGCAACTGGTACTATTGTTCAACCCACAACGAAAGAAAGGACTATGCCCCAAATTGCAAACGCACTGGGAAGGACCCTACAAGATTGTCACGAAAATAAATGACGTCGTTTATCGCATCCAGAGGAGCGACAGTCCCAGGTCGAAGATGAAAGTTGTACATTTGAAGCGGCTGACCCCCTACGGAACGGGAACTGTGCCTATTCGGGACGAACAGGCTTAAGCGGGGGGCAATGTTACGAATATAACTTTAGATTTAAGTTCATTTAGATGAATTCCGTTAATTTAAGAATTTGAATTGTAACGTAAATTTCTACTACGCAGTTTATTTGAATAACTTCACAACAACAACCACTGTATAGATTTTTCTACATCCTTCCATTTCCTCTTTCATTTTCTATTTTGTTATTGTCGTACAATTCTTGTTAAACGTCATTCCTCTTTCTTTGTTATTCCCTCGCCTGTATATGTGTTGTTGTTATTCCTCTTTCTTTGTTATTCCCTCGCCTGTATATGTGTTGTTGTTATTGTAAGTTTGTTTACTCAAGTTTGTTGTTGTTATTGTTCACTCAGTAAGTTTGTTGTTGTTATTGTTACTCAATGTGTTTGTTGCATTGGTAGATTGTTCGTGATCTAGGTGTTACCAGATCGTCTAGAAACTTCTGTAGCGACAGGCAGGGCTCATATAAATAGAGGGAATGGAAAGGCAGTGAGTCAGTTGTGAATCAGATCGCGAATTGAAACCGTCGAGTAAAGTAAAGTGCAAAGTAAAGTTGTGTGAATAAAATCATTGTAATAATCGTAATCAGAACGAACCCGCGTTTTATTTGGTACGAACTGTATCGGGAAATAAAACAACGTCTACACGGGAATAAGTGAAGTCCAAGAACGTAACAATATGTTCCATTATTTTTGATAATGCCGATAAAATTGAAATGGGTCTCAAGTCATCCGGACCACGTACATTTGGGAATTGGTACCACACGAACAGTCTTCCACGCAGATGGGAAAACAGAAGAAGTTAATATAGTGTTGAAAAGATTTAAAATAATATCAAAATCAAGCCATCGATTCCAACAGATTTAGATTTCACTTTACCCATTGCCTCTATTAGCAATGAGGTTTTGTAAGTCATCAGCGGTTCCACCATGGCTATTACTTAAGTTGGTTTCACAAGCAGTACAAATAAAGGCACTGACTCTAATTGATTTAAGTGCAGCTAGGTCTTTTTCACTCAAGTCAGCACAAGATCCATGCAACCATTTGTCGCAAACTCTACATTTCACGGATCCCTGGGTCTTTGTCACTGGCTCATTACAAGAGCCACACAATATTTGTTTCTTCGTAGCAGGCATATTGTTTATGTTAATAACAACAACAGCAGTTGAGAAATGACAGGAACAAACAGCAACAACAATAAGGCGCTTCCAGTCAAAAAATGGAAAAATGGCAAGAAAGCAAAATATGGTAATTGCGTAACACGGGATGAAATTATGTTTTCAAACACTGTATATAGAAGTGCATTTAATTTTATTTCACACTTCCGTAAAAAAAACTTCTCCGCAAAAACACTTCGATCTTTACAACAGCCAACAGTTGATATTTAAGGAAAAAACAATTTTGCGATCAGCTGCAAACAAAACAATGCACATATGCCCGCAATTTAAATCCATTTTGAGAGCAAACTTGAGTGGCGCAGATATCCAACTGGTCTCCCTGGATGACCTTATTTATAGGCCATGCTTCAGTCCTTCTTTGCATGATTTTTTTGTTTAGGTCACATTTACACAACATGATAAATCATCATTTAAGTTGTATTTTTATCAAATATATGACAAATCCCACAAAAATTAAGTTGTAAATATAGAGTTATCCTCAAATGGAATAAGTACCAAAATTGAAAATTAGAATTTGAGCCTGATTTATTTTCTGAAACCGGTGCAATTTTCCGCCATTTTCCATACAATACACACAAAAAGTATGTCCTGGTTTGTGGCAATTCTTATCTCTTTCTTTTGAAACTGCTTTATGCGTCTATACAAGGCAGTTTCAGAATACTTGTTTGTTTTTGTTTGACATTTTGTGAATGTTTTTTAATATTGATCAAAACAACATTAAAGGAAATAAAAACTGAAAAAATATAATTTGTTCATTTCTATTCCTTTTTCACCTCTCTCTTACAAACAATGCAAGTAAACTTTCCCAATCTAAAATAAGACTATGTACTTTGATTTCATAGAAGAGACCACTTAAAGAAATATAGTAATCAGTTGGAAAATAACCTCTATATTATTTTAATAGTAATCTAAACAACTACGATTTGGTATCTTGATTTACAAATTAAGTAGATTTAGAAGGAATAGTATAAACGCATCTTATAAATGTTCCCGTCCTGGAAGAATCTATTTTATTTTAATTTGTAATATTTTTTAAGCACAAACGATTTCTTATAAAAATACCAAATGTTAATTGATTTTGATTGGTGTATGTAAACCTTGTAATAACATGCTTTGTCGATGGTCCTGATTTATATTAGGCGAGTTTACTCGCGGCAATTTTTATCGTTTTCTTTTGAAGTTGCTCAATGCTTCTATACAAGGCAATTCGGTTTCCAAAAAATTTTTTTATTTGTTGTTTTTTCACATTTAAATATATATAAAATGTCAACAAATACGAAATACACAAAACGAATTGCCAGAAAATTGTCGGTACGAGCAATTTTTTTTCATTTCTATACCCCATGCCCTCTCTCCTACAAACAAAGGCTTGCCGCAAGTAAACTCGCCTAATCTAAATTGAGACATTGTTCATCTCGGTGAATTGATAGCTCAAATAAACTAACTTGAGAGAACTGAATGTCAACAGCTGTTGATGTTAGGGCTATGTAAACCGAAATAACAACAGAATAATAGAAAGAGAAAAATGACAAATAAAGAAAGAGAAAAAAGGAAACGGAAAATACATATACAATTTTTTGCAGTGAAAATATTATTGAAAAACTAAATAAGTTTTAAAATTAATCTAATTAAACAACAACAAAACAAAAAATAAAATATGTGTAGATCCCCGGTGAACATACACATCGTTTAAGCATACAAATTTAAGTGAAACATGTTTGTGCAAAAACATTTTGCACACGAACATGAAAACAATGAAATGTCTAAATTTGTAATTCCTATACATTTGTCCTGTGAAAAGAGGACCAAATTGTGGGCAACAACAACGACGACAACAAGCCAACAACAAGTTGCTGGTGAATGAGATTTCATTTTGCACAATCGAAGGAATCCTTTGACCATTGGCTTTGGGCTGGTAGTAATATTGTTTTGGGGGCAGGGCATAGTTTTGTCTAGCTGTCTGTTGTAAAAAATGCAGTGGTATTTTGGTATATTGGCTAGGCGGCCGTATCTGATGGTGTTGTTTATCAGCGTATTCTGTACAGCGTGCATTATTGTATCATTGACAACGAATAATTTGCCCGATTTTACGGATCCAACATTGGTGAGTTCCAATAAAGAAAATCAAAGGTTAATTAAAGGGGATTTGTGTGTAGGTGTGCTTCGAGCTGTTACTTGTTGATTAGGCAAATTTCCAAAAAGTAAAAGTGTAATGGAATTTGTGAAATAATCCATAGTCCATTAAAGAAGTTTAATGGAATGTATAAAAGGATTCGACTATAGTTTATGGTTTGCACGGCAATATTAATATAGAATGCCTAAAAGTATGCAATGAATGTCGGGAGAATTAAGGGAAGGATGTATTAAATTGTAACTTAATGAATTTTTTGTATTTTTTGCCTTTCTTCTTAAATTATGTATATACTTTTTAAATATATTTTATTTGGTTTTGTTTCAGGGCTTTGAAACTCGTGGAACCGAAATCGGCAAACGTTTGATAGCTTGGCACAATCTAATCCAGGAAACTGGTCCGTCAAATTTATTGGTAGAAAATCCCAGCGATCTACAACCTCCCTCGGAAAGATTCGATTATCAGTCAATTTCTCGGCAAAAGAATCGCCGCAATCGTAAACGGAAAAATCGAAAACCCAAAAAGAATAAACAGCGAAATAGGAACAAAACTGATCTGGCAAATGAAATTATAACATTTAAGAAACGCTTAAGGCACAAAAATCACAACCGGAATCAAATACAAAATGTCCATGGAGCTGCAGGCAATTTAAATTCATCGGCTACAGCAAACACATGGCATGGTGACCATGGCATATTTAGAGATTATGAAATAACAAATGATTCAACAGCATTAACACCTGCCAATGTTACAAAAACCGAAGAAGAGGGCATATATGGTCTGAACAAGACATTTGTCGATGACGATGACGAGATCAAAAATAAAAAGAGTCGTTGGTCGCTTTTGCAAAAAGCTGAACTGCCACCCGCCTCAGAAAGTGACGAAAATATTCGTTTACCCATTGAGGGATATTTTTGTGATTCACCCGCAAAGGAATATTCCCATTTTGTTGTTGAGCGCATTGGTCCGAATGCCACGGATTCTCTGTTTGATCTCAATGGCATATTGGCCATGTGTGAGCTACAGGAACAGATTACCAAAGTTAATAATTATGGAGAGTATTGCGAACGTGAAATGATTAGCAATAATTGTTGTCGTCCCTGGTCTTTGCCAAACTATGCTGCACTATTGGCCAATAAAAGTTCGTGTTTCGATTTAACGGTAAGCCATTGAAGATGATGATGATTTGGTTGAGTGAATCTTTTAATTTGTTTGTTGTTTATATTCTGTTTTTGATTTTTTTTTCTTTCAGCACGATGATATTTTATTGTTGCATAATCTTCTATTGACATGTTTCGAATATTTCCATGATTTGAAATTAAGCAATGATTGCAGTGAAAGGCGTTGTTATGCACCAACAGAGTGTACACGAAAAAATATTGTATTTAATATATTACACTATTTGACTGATTATAATATTATAAAGATAAATGTAAGTAAATATAATTTTATGTCCTTAAAAAGTGCGTTTTAAAAGAAGAGTATTTGTCTTTGCAGGAAACCAATATATTCCTAAAATACTCCATGATTTTTGTGCCAGTATCACATACAAGAAATATTTTGCCATTATTTCATGAATGGGAAAAAGTGTAAGTATAAAAATATACACCCACCCACCTTGATTCCAAAATGAATATAAATTTGAATTCACATATTTTTATTTAATTTTAGTATGATACCAAAATTGTTTATTACAGAATTCACAACAATTTTATAATAGGTGTTTCCAATTGTATCCATTTATTACGAACGTCTCAAGGTGTAACGATCAATGGGACCGGGTAGTGTTTTTTTAGCATAGATGGCAGCCGGTTTTGATATGGTATCATTATATGTTGAACGACTACATTTATAAATTGTCTCAAGTTCTTGTTTCAATTCCAAACGGTCACGTTTGACAATTGTTGTAAACACTGACATGTTTCGCTCTAAGGGATTCTTTACGCGGCATATAATCATCTGGTGAAAATATCATTTGATAACTGGTTTTTGATAAATTCTTAAACATATTTCCGATAAGCATTTGATCAGTGGCTGGCGTTTTGAAATATAAATTAAATATCTTATTTCGACATTTTTTCAAACGTTCTACATAATCTCGATATTCTTCGCGTTCTGGTAAAATTTCTGGCCATACTTTAGTTTTCCTTGGTGCACCATTACTACACAGATTATTGCCAATGTGGCCACATATCAGTTCTTGATCAAAGGCTGCTGGTTTTGTTTGAATTTTAAGCGGTTTTGTTTTTTCCAACTGCTGATATTGCTCATGATATGTTGTGGTTGTTTCCACGGGACATGAACAGTGTAGGGACATATGAAAAGTTTTTTTCTTTTTTGAGAAATATATATTTTTTATTTCAACTGACATTTACACAAATGACAATTTGATAAAATGCATTGTTGTTTATTTTTTTTTTTTCATTTAGTGACCTGAGCAATGAAATCGTTCGTGTTGCTGCAATGGATTTAGGCTTGGAAAATGAACTATTCAATGAATTGCTGTTAACCGATGTTTGGCTAGTGGCATTGGGTGGCATATTTGTTATGACATGCATGTGGCTATATACCACATCACTATTTGTTACTATAATGACTTGTATTGCTGTGATATTTTCATTAGGTTTAGCATATTTTGTTTATACTCTAGTATTTGAAATGTCCTTTTTCCCATACATGAACCTATTGGCTGTTGTAGTAATCATAGGTAAGTGACGAACAACTAAAAAATAAATGGAAATTCAATGTTAATAAATATTTATTTTTTCTAAACCTTTTTTTAGGTATTGGCGCTGATGATGCTTTTATTTTTGTCAAAATATGGCAATGTGTGCTGACGGAGCGATTTACAAAAACTTCAACAGTTACCACCAAATCTCTGGCCAATCCGGAATCTGAACAAACCGAAACATTGCAAAATTTAATGGCATTGACACTGAAGCATGCGGCAATTTCAATGTTTGTTACATCCATAACAACAACGGTAGCATTTTATGCTTCATATACGAGTTATATTACAGCTATTAAATGTTTTGGGTAAGTGCGATGAAAAATTGTAACTGAAATCGATTTGATTTGTCAAAAAAATTAATACACAAAGCTATCAGTGTCGCGATGTTAAGTTTTTTTATAAAGGAACATTTAAAAAAAAATTATAGCGTTGATTTTTCAAAAATATTTTTTCCACGTTTGTCAGCATGTGTAGATATTTTTCAATGTAGATATTTTTGTAGACATGTTTGTAGATATTTTTCAACAGGCGTAGATTATTTAAAAATAAAACAATATATTTTTTCAAGCTTGAGGTCTAGATTATTTTTTATTTTTCACGTTCGATATTTCGCAATTGATTTAAATTGCATCCTCAGGATAATAAATAAACTGGTGTCAAGTTTACTTAAAACTTTTAAGTAAACTTGACACCAGTTTATTATCCTGTGGATGCAATTTAAATCAATTGTGAAATATCGAACGTGAAAAATAAAAAAGAAACTAGACCTCAAGCTCGAACAAATATATTGTTTTATTATAATCATCAAAAGGTCGAACAAAACTACACAGAATAAAGATTATTTAAAAATATATATTTTTTAAATATTTTTCAATGAATATCAACGGATTATTAACAAACGTATATTTTTTAAAAACAAACATTCAACCAAAATAATCTCTTATCTCTAGTGTCCTTTACACAAGAGACCCACAGCAAGACATTCACTATCTTTATTATTTGAAAACCATGTTCGCTACGCGAACATCTTGCGGGCCTGAACATGAAAATTAAAATATAAAATATTCCAAGATATAAAAATTATAAAATATCAAAAATTTAATTATAAAAAAATATAAAAACAGCTAGGTAATCGCATCCAGGTACATCCGCCATCTCTCCGACCAGCTTCTCTTTTCGGTACCTCCATCTTTGTCTGCCGGCTTCTTCTTCCAGCCTGAACCCTTGGCCATAGTCATCCTCCGCTTCTCGGTCATACGGTTTCCAAGTGGCTTATCCGTATTTTTGCCCTTCGCCATCATCTCCCAGGCTGTTCCATTTGCAGGCCTGTTCATAGCCGCGGCTTCATTCTTCAGCTTACTCTCGCTTCTGACCACCGACTTCATTTTGGTGGGAAAACCTTCCCTTTCTGCTTCACCATCTTTCTTGGCACCAAATTCTTTCCCCTTTAATAGAACGTCATCTTTATTATTTGGCGGACCATCTAACGTTGGCTGCATATTACATGTGACTGCGGGATCCAACTTCCCGGCCGCATTTACACGATTTATATCGACCAGTGTAATCTTCATCGCCGGAACATCCCTTATTACTGGCATCTGCTTATTGGTCTAATAACCCTTTGTAGCCGATTCACCAACATTGACCACCGGCGTCATCTTCCTACCGGCAAAAGATTTCCGAAAGATCCAGTTCTTTCAAAAGCTTCCTTTTCTCTTCTTCTTCTCTGCAGCCGGCACCAATTCACCTTTAAGCTTACTAACATGATAGTAAAATTCGATGTATGTATCTCTAGCCTCTCTATACCTTGCCTGCGCCCTTTCTTTAAGGCAACCATTGGCGTCTTCCGATCTTTTTAGCGCAACTTCTAGCTCTTTATTCCTTGCCCGTAACTCCGCCACGTCATGGCTTTTCTCCTCCAATGCTCTTTGAATGCTGCCCATTTGTTCTTGGGCTGGCCTAAAACCTCCTGCCATATTGGATTTCTTCTCCAATATCTCCATCCACCGATCCCAAATATTATTTCGACACCTATTTATAGACGTAGATTTTTAAAAAAAAAACTTTTTTCTACTCCTATTTTTATTTTTAAAATTACTTTTTTCCAACACCTATTTATAGGCGTATATTTTTACAATAAATTTTTTCGACACCTATTTGTAGGCGTAGATTTTTAAAATGATTTTTTTGGACAACATTTTTTCGACATTTTTTAAGTTTTTATATGGGGTGTAGTTCTTTTTAATATTTACAAAAAATATGTTTCAAAAGGGAAGATTTTTTAAGAAATATTTTTAAATGTTTTACAAGGTCGTGGATTTTTTAAAACATTATTGACCTGTTCCCGTACTGCAAGAATCTACTATTTTTTACTTCGATAACACTTCTTTCCTTTATGATATCGGAAAAATAGTAAAAACTCGTAGATTCTTGCATTACAGGAACAGACTAATTGTTTAAGTTTTTTATGATTTGGTTTTGATAAATAAAATAATAATATATAAATACATTTTCGATTTTTTCCAGTATTTTTGCCGGCACCGCAGTTATAACAAACTATTTCCTAATGGTTACCTGGCTACCAGCATCCATTTCAATTATGGAACGTTTTACACCCATTACAACCTGTAGTAAATTACAAATACAAAAATTCTTAATTATGATAAATAAGTCAATTAATAGTTTCTGTACGAAACTTGAATTATTTATAACGACGACAATTTTGAATTATGCACCCATACTCTTTACCATGTTTGGTAAGTTAAAAAAATAAGAAAGCTTGGAATTGAAATTTAAATATTTTTTAAATTTGATTCTATTTCTTTTTAGGAATTATTGGCATTTGCTGTGGTCTGATAGTTTTATATAAACCAGGTTTACAATTACCCGAAAATGCGCACTTCCAATTATTTGTATCAAATCATCCATTTGAAATTTACAATTCAAAATTGAAAAATGAATTTTGGTTTGAGAAGACAATGGCGGTAAGTTTTTGTTGTTAAAAAAATAATAATAATTGATACTATGTTTGACTCTTGCCTATCGGTTACTTCTGAACTGCTTCACAAAATGTGTGACATTGTGTGCCTCCCATTGCTCCCTAGAATTTATAGAAGATTTTTTTCTTGATTAATTTTCTAATTTGTTCCTAATTTATTAACCAATTCTTCGTTTTTTTTCCTTTAGAATGCTGAAAATTACAAAATGCCATTACGTTTTGTTTGGGGTATACAGCCGATTGATGACGGCGACTATGACAACCCATTTGCCTATGGAAATTTACACTATGACAATAATTTTAATGTGTCTACAAAAGCTGCACAAATTTGGCTGTTACAATTTTGCCAAAATCTACGACAACAACCATTTTATCAGCTAACATTTGGAATGCTGCTCCCGAATTGTTTTATAGAAAACTTTATAACACTTATGGAAAGGATGTAAGTTATAAACGTCATACAAATTTATTTTGTATTTGGAATATTACCCCATATTTGTTTATTCACCCTCTCTCTCCCTTGCAGGTGTGTCAACAGCATGGACGATACTGATCGCACCCCCTGCTGTGATGTCTCCAAATTCCCCTATGAACCGGAAGTTTTCGATATATGCTTACCCCAGATCATATCATCATTGTATGCAACACCTAGAGAATATTTTTGGCCCGGTGTGGCTGGTCCGAAATTTATGGCCTCAACCAAGACCCTGGACATTAATAACACGCTGAGTGAAGAACTGGCCAATACAACACTGGATACAACATTGGCCAATGCAACAACACCCCCACCTATTGTCAAGGCATTGGTTGTGGAATTCGAATCGAATGTTTCATTCTCCACGCTCTATGACAAAGTTAAACAATTTGTTGAAGATGTAGAGATTTGGTTTCAAAATGAATTAAAAACGGCGCCACCAGAAATGCAAGACGGTTGGTTTGTTAGTGATTTAAAGTTTTACGATGTACAAAATAGCCTGCCCACATGCACTTTGGTGGCCATAAGTGTGGCAATGTCCGCCTCTTTGGTTGTACTACTGCTAGTAACCCTTAACATTTTGATATCTTTGTATGCTGTAATAACAGTTTTGCTAACCATTTTTGTGACGGTGGCCATACTTATTATGCTGGGTTGGAAACTGAATATATTGGAGAGTGTGACAGTGAGTACAGCGATCGGGTTGGCTGTGGATTTCAGTCTACATTATGGCATACATTATCGCCTGTCGCCATCATGTGAAAGACTGGCGGCTACACAATTTTCTTTGTCACGCATTATAGGTCCCACCGCCATGGCTGCCATAACCACTGGTATTGCTGGAGCCCTTATGTTATTCTCCAGCGTCCTGCCCTATCGCCAAATTGGCATATTTCTATTGGTGGTGATGTCAGTCAGTTGGAGCTATTCCACATTTTTCCTTATGAGTCTACTCAAACTATTTGGTCCACAATATGGCTTCATGCAATTCCAGTATCCCCGAGTAAATAAGCGTTCCGCCACAAACGGGGGTATTAAATTCTATGAACGTAAACATAATTATATAACGGCTAGAGAACAATTGCTCACACCATCCAGTTCGGCAGTGGGGGAACTTATTAATTCCGAATCCCATGAACTCGAATCACTAACCTCAAATTCAATGATTAAAACCATCTCTGGTACAGAATGTTCGGCACAAAGTTTTTCTTTGGACTGTGAACATTTGTTGAATAACAAGAAATCGAATACGAATTTGGCCTCACCTGTGACCACCGCTCATCAGTTATCGTACCAACAACATAAATGTCCGCCGCCGCCGCCAACAGCATTTAGAAATGGAAATGCCTCACTGGTGAACACAGCAGCAACAAAAACACCAGTAATGAATGCCAATGGTGGCACCACTGGCATAAATATTTCCATAACTCCCATTGATGTGGCGGATGACAAATTGGATACACGAAAATACATAGAAGAGACATCCAGTTAAAAAGAAAAACAAAGCAAACCGAAAATAAGGTATGTTTTATGTGTGTTTCTAATAACTTAAGAAAAAAATAATATTGTTATAATCCAAGTATTTGTAAACTATTTTGTAAATTAAAAAAAGCATTTTGTAAACTAGTGTATGATATTAGAAAAAACACAACATAAATTATTAGGTATGGATGGAATTATATTTATAAGCATTATCACGTTACAAAAGGGAATTGTAAATTCTTTGCAGCTTAAGAATTCAATTAAAAAAGGAGATAAATTTTAATAGAACAAAAACACATGTTTTATACAAAATAACAACAACAACTCAGTCCATTACATGCGAAAACAAAACATGGATTTATCCATCCCAAAACTAAAATAAAAATAAAAAACTAACTGTAGATAGTAAAATAAAATAAGAAATTGTTCCTGTTAGAATTATTGACAAATTATATATACATACATACAAACAAAACAAATATATTTATATATAATGAAATATGGCAAAGATTATTTAAAAAAATCATCATATTTATATATTTCTATAAATATTTCAATTATTTAATCTAGTTTTGTATTTGATTTGGATAGTTCCCCACTTCTACGTGTGGAACATGTTTCAAAAAAAAAAAAAAAAAACTTCCACTTTTTCTTTTTTGTTTTCTATAACTGAATATAGATTATACAAGTACTTCCAGTAAAATATAAACACATAAAAAAGAAGATCGTTAGAGTAGTAAAAAAAACAACTATTTTTCGTTAAATATAAATTGTGCGGTTTTAAAAATAACTAATTGGTATAACATAATTTATATAATAAATTAGGCAAGTCTATAGGTATTGAATATTCATATGATCGTAAATTAAATTAAAAAACACACACACACACACTAAAAATTAGAAAAAAATCAAGAATAGAAAATACGTAACACATTTTCTTGTACTACGATTTTAAAAGAAGATATACTTTCTGAGAATGAAGACCGAAGATTATTCTTACTAAGCTGGCTTGTGATAGAGCTTAAAAAAAAATTCCAGGCGCGTTGGTCTTGTGCGGAGCTTTTCCAATGTGAAAGATTATGCTTCGAGATGTTGTATTCCACTTGATCTTTCCATGGAATTCGTGACCTTCCCCTTCTACGTGAGCCTTTTTTGCAGACCTTCTGTGTTTCTGCTCAGAAACATACGGTGACGATATAAATTTATCAAGCTCTTCTTTTTAAGAAAAAAACTTCAAAACGGTTTGATAACGACGTAAATTCCTTTTTCATCAAGACTGCAGGTCTTTTATAAATTATAAAAGTCGGCTAAGAGTCTTAACAATCCCTTGAATTTCTTATAAACACAAAATTTGGCAACTATTTTTTGCCTAGGCATCTGTCTCTCTCCCGAGATCATGATCGCCTCTACTTGCTTGGTTGGAGGAATCCTATTCATTGAGATTATGGCTTGTATTATTCCTCCACATTTATTAGTTCTCAGACGGCATTCGTATAAAACAACATTTAATTAAACTTTCGAACGCTTAGCGGGAGCTTCATTGCAGTCGTCCATGTGGTGAACAATGTTGCTGTGAATTTCGCGGCAGATGGAAGAATTTTACAAAATCAGCTATATAGACATTTATTCTTTCAAATATGTTATCGATAATCGGACCGGTTACATCATAATTAAATCGTCTGGAAGGAGCATTTTGCAAAGCTTCTGGTATCAAATAGTGGCGGTGAAGAAGAACCAATAAGAGATGACAGTATCGATTGTATACTACCTAGCCAATATGAGGCCAGAATAGCAATCAATCGGCTGAAGAATAATAAACTCGAACAATTCAAGACTGGTGGTTAGATACTGGTCAGGAGCATGCACCAGCAGATTAGTACAATTTGGCTCGAGGAATACATACCCAATCATTGAAACCTTAGCATCCCGTGTCCCGTGCAGAAAAAAGAAGACAAAACAATATGTGCCAACTAAAGTTTCCTTCCTATCGCATATAAAGTTCTAACCAGCGTACTGTATGAACGACTGAAGCTTACGGCCAAAGAGATTATTGGACCGTCGAATATAAAGTTGCATTCAATAGCCCTATCCGTTCAGATGTGTTTAAAGTCATGTCTCCAAAATTAATACGACTGTGTAGGATAACATTAGGAGTGTCTGGTTACTTTTCCAGTAACATATTTATTCAGTAAGTTCTAGTTCAGAGAGTAAGCCGTTTTTACTCTCTTTTGCGATAGTATTGAGAAAAGTAAACAGACAACATTTAGTAAGATTTAGCAAATAAACAGCTGATTCAAGAAAACATTTGATTTGCGCCAAAATAAACAAACAAAGGACAAACACAATTATTTGTATTTCGTTTAATATTAAAAATAAAATGAACAATAAAAGAAAATTTGATTTGGTATGTTCCCCGGGAACATTTAAGCTTCCTGCATCAATAAATTGCCCTCTATCTGGAACTTGCCTAAAAATATATAAGGAATCAGTTTCTAATTTAATGAAACTTTGCATTACTTAGGAATTTTCTTCCATTTTCAGTTATTTTTATACAACTTAACTTCAAATTGAACTTTGCAAATTAAAAAAATGTTTTGAATAGTTTTTGTGTTTTTGGTCATAAAACATCTGATCCAAAAATGCTGAGTTTGCAAAATCTTACTGCATAAAATTCTTTCAGTAAACTCCAGTAAGTTTGTTGTTATTCAACTGTCAAACTTGCTCTCTCACTTGACTCTCTTTTACTGGATTTTTGTGTAAGCAGACAACATTTAGTAACATTTGGTAACAATTGTTACCAAATATCGAATAAACAGACAGTGCTATTAACAGGTTCAAGGTCAGCAGTTAAAGTCGGAAAGGACCTCTCGGAGCCCTTTAATACTGAACGAGGATTCAGACAAGGTGACCGTTTGTCTTGTGATCTTTGTGCTTCTTTATCCTGCTGGAAAAGGTCACGCGAAAGGCAAAAGTTAATAGAAATGGCACTCTGTACACCAAACAACGCATGTTACTCGCCTAACATTGCGAGCGGTAACAGCCAGCTTTGAGCAAATTGAGAGTCTTCCGAAGTAAATGGCGAAGAAACCTAGCTGATGGTATCAACGCGAAAGACGTACAGTAGACTCGAACCAACTGTGGAACTTGAAAACTACAGAACTATTTTATATACATCGGTACCGCCATAAACAAAACTAATAACATCAGCTTTGAAATCCGGAGGAGAATAGTTTTGGCCAACAGATGCTACTATGGTCTGAGTAAACAGTTTAGAAACAAGGCTACCTCCCGCCAGACAAAACTCCCACTCTACAAGAGTGTGATCCTACCCGTGCTTTATATGAATCTAAAGCATGAGTACTTGCGCAACCATATGAGGCAGCTCTTGGAGTGTTTGAGAGAAAAATTCTCCGAAAGATCTATGTGCCGATCTGCGTTGACGGTGAATATCGCCGTCGAATGAACCATGACTTGTACCATCCAATCCCTTAATCTTGCTTTTTACTACACCAAGAAACAGACGAACCATATATTTCAAAAAGAAACGCTTAAAGATTTTCTATCATTCTGATCTGACACCCAATCGGCATCTGCATAGCCAACTCATTACTAGCGTTCTAGAAACACAATTTATATTCCGACGTTTCTTTTAAGTATCTCAATACTCTCTTCAATTGCTGCCAATGTATCTCTGTAGGATTATTTAAAAAAATGGCTCAAGTAACCGACGGTAGAACAGATTGTGCACATTAGGCTACCTACAAGTTCGCGATATGGTTCATCGGCACATGAATTAGATTCGTTTACATTTAATTGTAGTCCTTTCTCAATACGTGTTTTTACTGTGTTGAATTCGTTCATTCCAAACTTCGACAACAGCTTATCAATGTTATCCTTCTGAGAAATGTACAAATCTCCAGCATCGAAATCGATTTTCATCCTAATTTTGGGTCAAATCTTCCTCACAAAAGAGTGTATGAGCGAAGTTAACTTGTTTCATCACAATATGCACTTTCATATAGCCAGCGTCCTTCTACAATCGCTAAATTTTAATCAAGATCTATTAAATTAACAATATTGGATTATGTCAGCAAACTTTAGAAGCAGCTGATGTGCAGTTCTCCCTGGATGATCTTATTAATAGGCATTGATTTTGATAAATTCAAATAATGTTGATATTTAAATTATTGCAATAGTGTGTGAGAATTCATAAAAGACAGAAATCATAAAATCGAAACTAAAATATATGTTATAAATAATGTGTTGTTTTAATATTAAGTCTGAAAAGGGTGTCTGCTATAATATGATTCAAATTTTATATAGTCATTGATAACATGAAGGTATGTAGTTTTGTTATAAGGCTTTTCAAAATAAAAAATAAATACTACCATGCCCTTTTCAAAACAAAAATATATATAATTAGACAGTGGAATTTTTGCTATGCCAACTTATATTAATTCCTCTACAGATTCTTCGGCTGAATGCGCAATCGAAAAATCTTTATTTTCATTTCCTTGAGATGTTGCAAGAAAACTTCCACCATCTAATCATAATATCCCCCCAAAACAGAAAGTATTACTTAATACATGTTTTATATGTACTTAAGTTCAAAATGTTATTAGCTAATTAATATTTCTAGAGAGTTTGTAAATGTAAGTGTATGTATTTTGTAAAATTTACAAAAAAAGAATATAAAAAACTAAAAATAACAGATGTAACTTAAAAGCTCAAAATCTTTGATATAATGCTATCAAAAACAAAACAAAAAAATGAAAACAAAAATCTGAAGAAAAACATTCAAAATCTAACCTAGAAACTGTGATAACGTTATATAAAAAACTAAAAATAACAGATGAAATTATATAAATATATTTGTCCATGGCAATTACAATATCGATATTTATATGTATATCGATTGCATATGAATGTATAATAATAACATAAAAATAATAGTTAATTAAAAACAAATCAATTTTAATTTTGTGAACATAATTTTAGAAATAGATGAATTAATACTATATTGTGTTAAATTAAAAAGAGGAAAAATAGTATTTAAATAAATAAAAAATATATACAAAAATAAAAAAGGAATTTAATTTTACTTCGTTGAGCACGAATGAACATCGTTTAGTGCATCACTCCATGAGTGGCGGCTTTTTTATTTCATAATTTTTTCTCTGTTCTTTACATCATAACATGGTTGCATTTTACAATATCAATTAGTATTCGGTAATCATCTTATTACAATAGTTGATTTCGTTAATCTATTCTACTACAGGTTATTCAGCAAATAAGAGATAGGGCTGAAGACGCCATTGCGAGGTCGCAAGATTATAGTCAATAAAGGGTTAAAGCGAAAGGGGTGGTAGATACATCATTTGTTGTAGGAGATTTTGTAGTGATTTGGAATGTGGATACCACTGCAGGGATAAACATAAAATTGTATTTTTTTTTTAAATAGCATCTCGATATAGCCTATCATCAATCAACCAACGAGTAATCAAATTGATTATGTTTTGATAGACGGGCGGCATTCATCCAGTGTTTTAGACGTTCGATCGATAGGTGGAGCGAATATCAATTCGGATTATTACCTTGTGGCAGCCAATTAGCGTCTTAATGTAGCAGCAAAGGTGCGATCTAATGTAACACGGAAAATTGACGTCGAAAATCTATAAACAGAACAGATAGCAGATGCCTACTCCGCTTAACTTGCCCACTTGCTTGACGAAAGCATTCCTTGTCCCGATAATAGTATAGAAACACAATGGCAATGAATTGCCCACTCCCTACAAACTGCAGCAAAAGCAACACTTGGATACCAAAAACCACCATCAAGAAACCCATTGTACGATCAGGAGTGTCGTAATGCTACTAATATGAAAAACCCAGCGTATACGGCAACCCCCAGAGAGAGAGAGAGAGAGAGAGAGAGCAACACGTAATGCGATGGAAAATTATCGGGAGAAAAGGAGAGAGAAGAAACGTATTTTCCGAAAAAAGGAAGAAAAAGAAAAACGTTAGCATGAGCAAATCGAGATGTACAGGAGCCTGAATGAAGTTCGGAAATTTTACCAGCGGGTAAAACACCAAAGCATAGACTTTGTTGCAGGCACATCCTCCTGTAGAGATGAAGATGGAAACCTGGTGACAGATACACTTAGCGTGCTGAGGATCTGGAAGGAGCATTCAGAAAAGCTTCTGGTATCAAATTGTGGCGGCGAAGAAGATACCCCAGAACCAATAGGAGATGATGGTATAAAGCGTATACCACCTAGCCAAGATGAGGTCTGAGTAGCAATTAATCGGCTGAAGAACAATAAAGCAACAGGTGCCGATGGATTACCAGCCGAACTAAACAAGACTGGTTGTCAGATGCTGGTCAGGAGCATGCACCATCTGATTAGTACAATTTGGCTAGAGGAATGCATGTCCAATGATTGCAACCTCAGCATCCAGTGTCCCGTGCACAAGAAAGGGGATAAGACGATATGTGCCAACTATAGAGTATTAAGTATCCTTCCCATCGCATATAAAGTGTTATCCAGCGTGCTGTGTGATCCACCATTGACCAAATTTTCACTTTGTGCCAGATCCTGGAAAAAACACACGAACAGGATACTACTATGGGCTAAGTAAGCAGTTTAGAAACAAGGCCACCTCCCGCCAAACCAAACTCACATCCTATATGACGCGGATACTACCCGTGCTGTTATATGGATTTGAAGCATGGGTACTTACGCAAGCATATGAGGCAGCTCTTAGAGTGTTTGAGATAAAAATTCTCCGAATGCCGTGGAATGTACCATCATTTGTACCATTTATTCTCGGACATCGGCATTGTCAGACGTATCGAGCTTCAGCGACTACGATGAGGATACCCCAGCATAAAAGGCATGTAAATGCGAGCCAACTGATGGCTCAGGTAGAAAAGGAAGGAAAGATCTCGTAGAAGAGAAAATATACCAAGATTTATTAATAAGGTAACCTAGCAAGCGAAAGTCAGTTGTTCTCTTCTTAAGCCTTATGTCAAAAATTTTAACTTTGTTTACGTTTTCATAATGAAAGTCAATTCACAACAATGGATTTTGACAGTGAACCTGAGAGGCAGCTGATATCCAGATGGTCTCCCTGGATGACCTTATAAATAGGCATTGATACATTAAAATTTCAAGGTTATAGACAATTTAAAATAATTAAAATACATAGCATTGCATTAATTTCGTTTATTTTTATTTTAATTTCAATTTCTTTTTAAAACATCAAGGTTTGCGTCTACTTGAACGTGTCTTATTTTTCATTTTATTTGTAATATTCGGAAATGTTAGTACCTTGTTTAATTTGTTGCTGTTGTTGTATATCATTAATCGTAAGATTGCTCAGTAGTAGCTTGAATTAGATTCCTATGCATTTTAGTTGTATGTCTGTCTGTGTGAGGTTGTGGGAATAAGATTTAAAAAAAAAGTTGCACACATTCTTTTGCTAGATTAAAATTCAACTACAAATATTCCACAATATCGCATTTAATTGATATATTGGGGCAACTTTGTCCCACCACATTACGTCCGCGATAATTTGGACTTTTCTCTGTGAGAAGTTTGCGAAATATCGGCAATATGGCCGTTTCACCATCGAGCAGCTCCGTTTCCGAACTGGCACCGTACATTGATGACGAGTCGGTCTTTATGCCACGATGTTTATTGTTGTTATTTGTCGGACGTTGTTTATCGGGGGCAATCATCGGAGATGAGTGGTGATGGGCAGCATGTTGTATATTCGTACGATTAGCCTTACGTTGTTGCATACACTGGGTACTGGGCGGTGTGGGTTCACGTTCCCGTTCGCTATCCGTTTCACTTTGACACACCGTGCCCTTTTGTGGTTTATGTCGATGTTTATTGCGATTCTTTTCCGATACGGAACGTTGTATGGGTGAGGTTATTTGATCGTACGATGAGGGTACAATATGACTGTGTTCCGTACAACGTTGTGGACTGGCATAATTGCGTGGTGACTGCCGGGAATGTTGTTTGGCATGCGACAAGGTATGGGTATCCCACAAGTCACTTTGTGACACAACGAAATTCGATTTTAATGCTGAACCCATGCTGACACGTCTGGAATCGGAGGAAACGGGAGCTGGAAACAAATAAAGCGGTTTAATTGGTGGAATTTTATTGCATCCGATTAATAACTTACTTTTAACGGTGTTATTAGTCTTGCCATGGCTTCCACCGTGTGGACATACATTATTCAATTCTGTCTGGGATGCTGAAACATTAGTCGATGAATTCCGATGATTATTGTTTGTGTACTTCGAACGAGATGTGGGCGTTTGGGTACCATTATCATAATGCTAGAAATACCCAAGATAAGAGAGAGGGGAATAGAGAGAGAGAGAGAAGAAATTTAGTTAAACAGGGATCTATTTTTGTCTTCTGTCCATTTAAGATAAACGATTTTTCTTTCTGAATGTTTGTACCCTAGAATAAGATAGGATTTTACTACTGCCACATGTGGTTTTGGTCACCTCATCTTTGTAGAGTTACCGTTCCTACAATATCGGTATTCGAGAAAGAGAGGGAGAGAAGCAGTTTAACATCTGCTGCTCTAAAGTAATACAGAATTATTTTCGCCACATTTAACGCTTGCTGCTGTCTGCCTATTGTTTGAATGACGGGAGACGGAAATCAAGTTTCCCCATCCCATAAAACAACTCCCCCTTGTTCCTCCTTAAATATTGCTCACCAACAGAGTCGGTAGCAAACATTGCGACTACACTGCCGTTCCTTTCAAATGAAGCGATGATTCTCCACCTCCTCATTTCAAGTCCGTCGCTCTGCTTTCCACTAAGCGAAGTGTGTTCTCCAGTCCTTTAGAAGGGTGTGTGATTCACAAAAAGGTTACTATTCCGTTTTGTATCTCGTGGTATCCTAAAGAGGGTCGCAGCTGTTAATTGTCCTCTTAAGGAAGCCCGCAGACTCCTTAGTTCGACAATTAACAACCTTGACCCCTTTATATAAAGTGATCGGGCCAAACGTAAGTTCTTCAAATAGCTGTCGACTAACAACCATTTATCTTCACTGGTAATCCCGTCAGCGTCAGCTCGAGCCATGATTGCTAATCGCAGATCATCCAGTACCTCCTGTGGAGCAGCAGAGTCGCTAGGCGCCGTTGTAGATTTCTTGGATACCTGCTTCGAGACAGCGGGTTTGGCTTTCACCACACCCTCACCGCTCTTAGCAGGTTTTCCCATCGACACTACTAACGACGCGAACGAAGCAGAACTTTGTGCACCTGACGACTGCGTGGTTATCTTAGCAGCAGGTTGTTGTTCAACCGAGGACCTCATTATCTTCACAGCTGTGGGCTGTGATCGGAATTCGGCACCCGGGGTCACAACCGCCGCAGGGACGCAGGCAACTGCTTCGCGCTCGCTACCATTGGAGCATCCACTAACAACTGCCCAATTGTAACAACCTTGGATATCGGTTTCGAAATTTCGGCAGAGGGTGGATTTCCAGAGGGAAGTTGTGCCGTATCAGCCTTCTTGGAGGACTTTTTTCTTAGGTTATACTTAGTTCTTAATTAAAATTAACCCGGATAATATTCGTGTCAAATATAACCCCGTTTTCTTACCCTTGACGATGTCGACTGCCGCCTTTCGCGCAACGTCGAATCTTCACGATGTACATTATTACACTCCTGACGCTTTAGACTTGACATCGAACCGATACTAACATCGGTCTGAGCCGATACGGAATTACGTTTATCGACATGACGTCGTGTTGTATCGTTGTTACACTGTTTCGCCTGTTGCTGCTGTAATTGTTGTTGTTGAAATTGTGCCTGTTGCTGAAGTTGTTGTTGTAATTGTTGTTGGATTGGTTGTTGCATTACATGATGGGTTTTAGTCGGTATTGGTGGTTGCTGCTGCTGTGGGGGCTGTTGTTGTTGATATGGTGGCTGCTGCTGATGTGGTTGTTGTTGTAGACTGTCCTGACGTTTAACATTCTTTTTTCTACAGGGAAGAAAACATTGATTTTTTGAAGTCCTTTGAGGTTTACAAAAATATACTCACGGCGGCAAGGAGGGCGCCACTGTTGTCGACTGTACCGACATCAAAGAGTTATCCATTTCAACATGGGTCGAGGTCACACTATCAACGGATGTCAATTCGGTGATTTCTAATCAAAAAAGGGAAACATAAAAAAAGATAATTCAAGATCACTGGATAATATGCCCTGCTGTTCCTTTGAAATAAAATTCTGAAATTGTATAAGGACAACCCGCAACCTTGTTCTCGGTATACCCACCAACATAAGGTGGAGGATATACTGAGACATTTGTTATACCTTTTCGCCACACCTCGAAAAATTCGTCGGAAACGTCATTTAGTATATATCTTATATATTATATAAAAATCGGATGTCGATTAAGTTCTGCCCGGCTTGTCGTTTGTTGAAATCACATATTCTTGGTGGGTTAAGATCATATATATTCCAACCGAAGTAGCTTGGAGTTTATTTCGGATGCTTGGAGGGTAAACAAAAAACATAGTAGCAGATAATTGTCAATATAGGGAATTTTTTCATAGCCTTATATAATTCAACTCCTTCCCATCGCAAATAAAGTGTTATCCAGTGTGCCGTTTGAACGACTGAATCCAATGGTCAATGACATTATTGGACCATACCAATGTGGCTTCAGACCTGGCAAATCCACCATGGAACAGATTTTACCACTGCGCCAAATTCTGGTAAAGAGCCACGGAAAACACATCGACACATACCGAGCAACCGTCCACTTCATTTCACTTGTTCGTCGACTATAAAGCCGCAGTCGACAGCCCATTCCGGTCAGAGGTATTTAAAGCTATGTCTGCGTTTGGCATTCCTGCAAATTTAATATGGTTATGCAGGATAACTTTAACTGGCACAAGGTCAGCAGATAAATTCGGAAAGGACTTTACAGAAACGTTCAATATCGAACGAGGACCTGTTTAACATCCTGCTGGAAAAGGTCATACGAGACCCAAATGTGAACAGAAATGAGATTCTGTACAACAAACAGAACATGTCACTTGCCTATGCCGACGATATCGACATAATAGGTCGAACATTGCGAGTGGTAACAGCCAACTTTTGAAATGGCGGGAAGACCAAGCTGATGGTATCAATGCGCAAAACGTCCAGTAGACCTAAAACAGCTGTGGAACTTGAAAACTACAGCTTTGAGGTAGTAAACGATTTTATATACCTCCGTACCGCCCATAAATAAAATTAAAAACATCAGCTTTAAAATGCGAGAAGAATAGTGTTGGAAAACATATACTACTATGGTCTGAGTAAGCAATTCAAGAGCAAAGCCACCTCTCGCCAGACCAAAGTCACATTCTACAATATGCTGATACTATATATGCCGATCTGCGCCGAAAATTATATGAGCTGCGCAAGTGAATTTTTTTAAGCTCGGCTGTCACAAGCCAGCTAATTAGGCGCATTTCCAACCGAAGAGGTTATAATTTTATATGTCCATGTTTTGACATAGTCCCTATATAAATGTCCCGCCCAACAATAGGTATTTCAATGGTCCTTGAGCTCTTAATTATTAAGATTAAAAAATGTTCGGCCCGGCCCACTAAATTTAAACTTAATAGTAAAACTTGTGTTTCTATACAATGCAATGCGATAGAATCCGGAGATCCTTCCCTTTCGGTTCCTTCCTATCATACATCTTTCTAATTTTACCTGTTGTACTGGGCATATCTCTTCTCACGGGTGGTGCAGAAAGACGCGCTGGATCATTTATGCCACCGCCAATAGTACTGCCCAAAATCGGTTCTGTATCACCACCGACACTACCACCACCACCCGAACCACACGTTACACCATCAATCCATTTACGTGCCTCCGGTCCCAGTTTCTTAATCAAAGCTTGCAGTTCATTTTCTTTTTCCATTAAAGCTTTGCGGAAACGACAATTCGTATTTTTCACTTCACGCAAACGTTGTTCCAATTCACAGACAGACGAATCACGACGATTTTTCGACATAGGCCGTAGAGTGGCTCTGACACGTTTATCCACAACACCTTGTGGATTACGTTTCAATTCGACCAGCTATGTTGTGATAACGAGGGGATAGGGGAATTATTTGTGGTTAAATGTTTAAAAAAAGTTGTTGTAAACTTTGTATGTATATTTTAGTGTGTTTTTGTGTATATATTTTTTAAGTGGGTTGCATGAATAGTTTGTTATTCTATTTAAAAAAATAGATATATATTACAAAAAATATTTAAGCTATATATTGGTTAGTACAGCAAGCTATATCTTTTGTTTTTTCTGTTGGGGTTAGTATACACAGATTAGTACCAGGACAATTTCAAAATTACATTCAATGATTTTAATTTATATGTATATATAAAAAATTTGGTATCATTAAATAACAAGTAAAACGGCCTGAAGTTCGAAGACTGTACAATAAATCGTATCGGCTATAATTAGAATATGAAAAGATATGACAAAATATTTCGTTCCGATCAGTATCTATCGAATCAGAAGTAGAAACCCTTCAAGTTTTTACCTTAAATAACATATTAGTAACAATAATTACAATGGCGCCCAACATTATTGCTGGATTGTCATTAGGCTTCGACGATTATGGTCTACTGGAAGCAGACCATACGTGTCCACAGATTGTGGATAGTGGAATGCCCAGCATACTCTCTGGGTAACTGAGAATACAGAAATGGTCTCGGACAGTTAGCGGATCTAAGAAGAAGGCTTATAAATAAAATGGTCTTAAGTTCCACAAGGCTATATTTCGAATATTGACAAAGACCCACCATAAAATCACTATCGATTTTAAGTGTTGTGAAGGTTTATCAGACAATGTGACAGTTTGTCGTGTGATCTTTTTAACAGCCTGCTGGAAAGGGTCAGACGAGAGACAAAGGTGAACAGAAATAAAACTCTGTACACCAACCAACTGATATTACTCGAGCGCTAACGGACACCCTTGAACAAATAGCGAAGTAATCTTCCAAAGTGGATATCACGCGCAAGACGTCCACCAGACTCGGACCAACTGTGGAACTTGAGAAATACAGTTTCCATTTAGTCAAGGATTATATATACCTTGGTACCATCATAAATAAAACTAATGTCATCAGTTTTGAAATTTGGAGGAGAATAGTGTTAGACAACAGATGCTCCTATGGTCTAATTAAGCAATTCAAAAACTAGGAGAAAGGTGGCCTTGATCAAACCAATCTCACACTCTTCAAGACACTGATACTATGTTGTTGTATGGATCAGAAGCATGTGGATTATAATTAAAGTATACGATATGAAATAGACATTTGAGATAGAGTGGATTTTGTTAATACAAACGCAATTTATGACATTGGCCCCATTCGAACTTAACGACGTTTTTTACTTGTTAAATATAAAATGTACATACTATATACATACATATGTTATACTGACAATCCGTTAATGCGTTATATGTATTGAAAAAAAGAAAAAGTAATGTAAATCTATTAAAAAATAACGTTATTACATAAAAAATAATTAATCTTATTCAATTGAGGCAATTATTATGTAAATAACTATTCATGCAAATGTTTATATGTATTCTGTATAAATATATATTGTTGTTTTTTGCATTAGGACTAGTTATTCGTTTTACATTCAATTCAATAAATATAGTTTTAATCAAATTGTCAATAATCGGTTGTGCATTTGATAAATTTTTTAGCATTAACCCCTATAGTGCTGTAATATTTTTTTGGAATTTTGGGACGAAACTTTCAGCGTCTCTAGTTGTGGGTCATGGAGTCCAAAAAATTGATTTGTATCCTGTTTTCTTATCAAGTTAATCAATTTTTTGCCAGTCATAACTTTGATGTCAGTGGTATTTTTATCAGTAGTTCACACCAGATGATCTATTGATCGTCTTATGAGTGTGACCATATGGACACGCTAGCACAGCTCAGTTAAGGCGGGGGAAAAAAATTAACACTTAAAGAGAGAGAGTTTAGTTGTGTTTGTTTACTCAATAATTTGTAAAACTTTTTACTAAATGTTGTAAAAGAGAGCGAAAAGAGAGAGCTAAATTTCTTCCAGTAAAATTTATCCAGCACAATTCGATTTATTTCAAACAGCTTTTAATTTTAGATTTTGACCAAAGTCAAGAAACAGTTCTTATTATTTTTATAAACTGTCAATTCCATTGTATATATGTCAAATTTAAGGATTAAGTCGAAAAATAAATATTTTGCAAAAAAAAAGTACTGGATGCTATCTATTTACTTTTCTCAGTATTATCCAAAAGAGAACAAAAACCGACTTACTCTCTGAAATATAACTTACTGAGTAAATGTTACTGGAAAAGTAATCCGACACTGGTTTTATTGTCCCATGGAAACCTAAAACCAAAAAACAGCTGGTTCCAAAAATTCAATTCAAAAAACAATTAATTTGCTTGAGAACATATTTGTTGTTTGCTTACAAAACATAACCAAACAGCTGAAATTTTTCCTTTTAAGAATTTGCACATACTCAGTAAAACAACTGTCAAATCTGCTCTCTAACTAGACTTTTCTCTTTTACTAGACTTTGGGATAAACGAAGAAAATTTTGTAATTATTTTATACAAATTTGTAAAAATTATTGAGTAAACAAACGAACCTAATAATTCGTAAACTCTCAATCTGCTTAATTCACTTTGAAAATTTGCAGAGTATAATGTCGAGGAAAAACCAAGATCCATTAATAAGGTCACGCAGCAAGCTAAATCAGCTGTTTTTTCTCAAGTCTAATGTCAAAAATTTAGACTTTTTTTACATTTTCATAATGGAAGTCAATCATGATGCAATAATAAGGTGATGTATAAAAACAGAAACCTTTGTTTTTGTCTCGACCATCTGTCAAATGTTTCACATGGTTGGCAAAATTGCACATCGAATTCAAGTAGAAATTACGCACTTTGACAGTTAATCAATATAACAGATGCGCTAAATGGACTACCTATTTATTGTGCCATGAAAGTCAATTTACAAAAATTGATGGTAACAGCACATTTGGGAGACCGCTGATATCAACCTGGTCCGTCTGGAAAACCTTATTAATATGCCTTGAGGAAAGCCAAGACCATAAAACAGCTGATAATCAAAATCATATGATACTTCTTAAAATTCGCCATTGAGTTAATTTTCAAAGTTAAAAACACAACCAATCCTAATGCAATATTGGCTACAAATCAAAATGTTTTCGGATTTGTAGACAATTTTCTTTTCGTCAAGGCATTTTCAAAAAAATATATGCATTCATATTAAATTTCACTAGAAAAGATTACGATTCTTCATCAATCTCCAATCATTCCAATCCAAAATCAATAAAATAATTTTAAAAATAAAAAAACAGAAAAAAAGAAAATAGGTTATGCATAAATTACAAGGACAAAAAACTACAAAACTTCCTTACTACCAGTCTTACTTTCGGTACGAACACCAAACACAAAGTGGCTGTCGTACAAAAAATTATAAAAAATGAGAGTAAGACAAAAACTAAATCTTTGCGATCCGACAACACCAACGAGATGGCAGCCCCAGCAATACAGGTGATGAATACATTGTAGACGGAGAAACCGATATGTTTAGAATCGTTTAGAGCTGGTATGGAAACATGTCGTGTTTCCCAGGCCAAAAAGGCGCCAAAGACCTGTAAATAATAATCATAACAGATTTAATTAGAAATACATAGAATTGTTGTTTTTGTTGTTTTCATAATCCCCTTACCAATAGCAAGCCTTTGTAGGCATAAATGATGCTAACAAATATTGTCATATGTTCCGATTGACAATATTCATTTTCCGGTATAACCAAAACATCATCCATATGCTCATGATGCTACAAAACAAAAAGAGGGTTATAAAGGGGACATTTGTATTCTTATTCCATATATCTACTTACCCTTGGTTCCAATTGTTTGGTATCACGATAAAATGGATCGGCTATTTGCCATGTCGTTATTATGGCAATATCGATGAACAGTAAAATACCCACAACCATAAACAGCTGATAGTCTTTAATGACTTTTTTGTTCAATTTCAAATCGGTGAATATCGAGTGCACCCGCCAGGTTTTCGAAAACATTGCCCCGAATGCCAAACTAAAACCGGCCATTAAAATCCATGCCCGTGCTGTACAAATATATGGAAATGCCGCAACACTGCTCAATGTTGTATCAAGACCCAAAAATATTACACTCATATAGGTCAGCAGACAACCGACAATAATTAAATTATTTAAATGGGGACTGGACATTTTAATGTATCTAATGGGCGGGATGAATATTAAAAATTATCCAAAAAATATTAAAACTATTAAAAAATGATCAGGTTATTACCTTTGATTTCGATATTTAATATTAAAGGCCAAAAATACACAGGCAATAATCATTCCAACAACAGATGCACTTGCCGAAATAATATATATTGTCAGATTTACTTGGCTGTGTTCGATGTAGATCAGTGTCCGATCCTTTGGCGGAGTTTTACCAACCTGTAAGATGAAAACAAAATGTTACATACATTACTATGTGTATTGTTGAGGATCTGGAAGGAGCATTTTGAAAAGCTTCTGGTATCAAATAGTGGCAGTGAAGAAGATACCCCAGAACCAATAAGAGATGAAGGTATAGAGTGTATACCACCTAGCCAAGATGAGGTCAGAATAGCAAACAATCGGCTGAAGAATAATAAGGCACTAGTTGCCGGTGGGTCAGGAGCACGCACAACTGAGTAGTACAATTTGGCTAGAGGAATGCATGCCCAATGATTGGAACCTCAGCATCCTGTGTCCCGTACACAAAAAAAGGAGACAAGACGATATGTGCCAACTATAGAGAAATTAGTTTCCTCCCCATCGCATATAAAGTGCTATCTACCGTACTGTGTGAACGACTGAAAATCCTGTAAAAGACCTACGAAAAACATATCGACACGTTCCACCTATTCGTCGACTATAAAGCCGCATTCGACAACCGATATCCGTTCAGATGTGTTTAAAGCCATATCTACGTTCAGCATTCCTGCAAAATTATTACGGCCATGCAGAATAAGTTTAACTAGCACAAGGTCAGTAGTTAAAGTCAGAAAGGACCTCTCGAAGCCCTTCAATATCGAACGAGGATTCAGACAAGGTGACGGTTTGTCGTGTGACCTGTTTAACATCCCACTGAAAATGGTTATACGAAATGCAAATGTGAACGGAAATGACACTCTTTACACCAATGAGCATATTTTACTCGCCTACACCGACGACATTGACATAATGGGTCGAACATTGCGAGCTTTAACAGTCACCTTTGAACGAATTGAGAAGTCTTCCAAAGTGGGACTGGCAGTAAATTGTGGGAAGACCAAACTGATGGTATCAACGTGCAAAAGGTCCAGTAGACTCGGATCAAATGTGGAACTTGAAAACTACAGCTTCAAGGTAGAGAAAGATTTTATATACCACGCGACCACCATAAATAAAACTAATAAAATCAGCTTTGAAATTCGGAGGAGAATAGTCTGGACTAACAGATGCTACTATGGTCTGAGTAAGCAACTCGAAAGCAATGCCACCTCTCGCCAGACCAAACTCACACTCTACAAGGCGCTGAGGTTACTCGCGCTATTGTATGGATCTGAAGCATGGGTAATTGCGCAAGCAGATGAGACAGCTCTTGTAGTGTTTGAGAGAAAACTTTTCCGGAAGATCTATGGACCGATCTGCATCGAATGAACAATGAGCTATGCCATCTATCAAGTAGAAGACAAGGAAAATGGTCTTTCGAATTGAATGAGATGCACACAAGACCGACGCGCAAGATCTCGGCAAACCAGCTAAGTAAGTAAAACCAAAAATCCCAAAAAATCGAAGGGATTGGATACTGAACGATATGAGTTTCGTCGTGCGATCACTAAAGATCAAACGGTGAAATAACTTACTGTTGAGGTCGACAGGCTAGCATATGGGTATTAGACCACCTTAAGCAATTCAACATTGGCGTAACGGCAATGTAACATCCCAAGAGTCACAAGCGTTTTGGCTCCTTTACACCTTGGGCGCCAGAGTTAATTTTAATTTGAAAACGTTCTTTAATTAAGGTGTTTTCTCAATTTATTGTCAACAAACCTAAGTCATGTGTCCTCGTTCATCAATTAATCATGTCTCTGAAACTACTCCGCATATTTAGAATCCCTACAAGTCATTCTGAATCAGATATCAAATTGAAAAGTTATACACACATTGTCGGCAGAACTCGTACACCACATACAGTTTCCAAATAATCTGGAGTGCATTTTTCAACTCGCAGCAGAACTACAATCGATCTGAAGGAATATGCTAGTAGAAAAATATGTTTTGTTTCTTACTAACCCATTTCACCGGCTTTCCCAATGTAAGATCCAAATGATTTTGTTGTGAATGGAATTCACCAATTTTTTCCACTTGTCCCAATTGGAATTGATTTATCAAAATATTAGCTTTACGTTCGTTGTTGTAAAAACGTACGGGACCCTATAACAACACAAAGTATTAATAGTTAAAAAATAATATATTATAGATATACATACCGTAACACCTTCAAATGAAGTGTTCCGCAGCGCTTCCAAAAACACATTTTCCCATTCTTTGCCACGATAATCGAAATGTGTTAGGAAATCTTCACGTTTTTGGGCCACATATTGTATGGCCAATGCAGCAGCCCAAATGCCATCATAGGTATAACCATGGAAACGGGAATATTCATTGCCACGTAAACTATCATATTCCGAAAGATATTCATCGGCCGTCTAAAACAAGGAAACAATTTCTATTAAATTTCCCCATAGATTTTTTCGCTACCCAACTTACAATTCCTGCTATTGTTATATCACCACTTGTAGACAATGGTAACAGATCCACCATCATTGTACCCTCCAAAGCCTGGATTAACTCCTCCACAGTGCAATCCGTGTCAATGGTGGTATTCCACCATTCCGTAGAATATGTGGCCATTATCAGCCACTGATACGATCTGCCATACATGTCCAACCTGAGAAGAATTATGTAAACGTTTAGAGGCATATCGAAAGATATAATATCGTTCCCACTTACTTGTGCGCCTCACAGAAGACCTTGCGGGCAAAATGTTCATTAAAATTACCCAATATAATACGAACATCCTTTTCACGTAACTTCTTTAGTGATTCACTCACATCATTGACGAAACTCTGCGTTTCCACCACCTCCAATTCCATGGAATCTAAATCAGCTACCATGTGATTGTGAGGCAACGAGTAGCGTGGTTCATTCTGATACAATGTTCCCACACGAGTCCAATTGAACTCTTTCAGCAGTGCTAAGCGCGGTGCATTGAATGCATTCTCGGAGGGTACCACCCGAAAGAAGTTAGGAAAAGCATCTTTAGTAAACATGGGATGGGTATCGGCATATGATAGCTGGGTCAAATGCCAATGTTTACTAGCCTTAGCAATCGGATCGGTAACATGGGTGCAGGCAGCACCGAACAACATCAGTTTATTGGGTCCCGAATGCATCATATCGAAAAAGGATTTGACACCAACGGCAGCATTGCACTAAAAAGACCAAAAAATAATGAAATGAAAAATTACATTGACCCCTTGTCGTGGCCTAATAACTTACCTCGGTATCATTCCACCACATGTGCAAACGATAATTTGTCAGTATCCTGGGATGTTCATTGACATGTGATAAGGCCAACTTGACGCTTGGCATTACACCTCGTCCCGTATCAGAATTCTCAACACCATCGCCATACGGAAAAAATCCAGCTATATAAACATCTGATCTTTTTGCTGTTCTGCCATGTGTCGTCGTTATTGCAGCAAAGAATACCGCAAGGGTGGTTATTAATACCACCAACTGCATGATATAGCTATTTGGAATGGGAGTACTTTGTCTGTGATTTAAAAAATAAAAAAAGGGTTTTTAATTAAATGCAAAATCTTAAAGCGTGTAATATTCTTCCTAGCCTTCAGCGATTGAGCGCCACTTTTAAAATTACAGTGTTTATTTATTTTGTAGTCAACAAACATAAGCCATGTTGCTGTCCGTTTCGTTCGACAATAAGTTCCGACTCTGAAACAATTTGCATAAAGACCAAAATACACTATCCAGAACTATTCAACCTTCATTCAATCCAAGTCAGAATCATACACCGTAATGGCATGTTATTTACACTTTAAAAACGTCACAGTTGTCCAACTTCCAAGCAAGCGAATAATTTGTAAAGGACGATTGGAACACACCTTAGGTTAAATAGAGGTTTTTGGCTTAATGTTCCCAAGCCTTCATCGCTTGGGAGCCACTCACTTTAAATTTTTTTTAAATAAAGTGTTTATTTTGTAGTCAAAAAACGTTAGTCACAATAAATTTCGACTCTAAAACTACTCTTCAGGTTTATAAATACCCAAAAACTATCCTGGCTCCACTCTATCCAAGCCAGAATTGGCAGAATGGCAAAATTATTTACAAGTCATTATTTGTTTTCTATCCGGCAGAAGCTTCATGTTGAATATTGAATAGATCCTCTCGTCAGAAACTGCAGTTAATGCGGAGGTTCCATCTGTCGCTGCAGCCGTAGCTCATGCAGGGAATACTTATGTCAGACTAAATGAGCTGCTCCAAACTGCTCTCTGAATACTTCGAAACTTAGAAGATGCATTTCAATTTCGATACATGTGATGCGATAACCTTCAAAGGCAAGAACAAATATTCATACCGCAATATGAACACACTACGACAGACGTTTGAAGGTTGAAGAGACCCTCTCGTCAGAAAGTGCTGTTAATGCGGGGGTTTCACAGGGATATCTGCGATAACGTCCAAAGGCAAGAAGAAATATTTATACCGCAATATGAACCTACTGCGACAGAAGTTTCAAGGTGAAGGTTGAAGAGACCCTCTCGTCAAAAAGTGCAGTTAATGCCGGGGTTTCACAGGGGTATCAGCGATAACCTTCAAAGGCAAGAATAAATATTTATACCACAATATGAGCCTACTACGACAAAAGTTTCAAGGTGAAGTTTGAAGAGACCCTCTCGTCAGAAAGTGCAGTTAATGCGAGGGTTTCACATGAGTCTCTCCTTGGACCCGTTCTCTTCAAAATGTTTATAAGTGATTCACCGGATGCGTACGAAGGGTCATTACTCCATATTTGTCGCTGCAGCGGGAGCTGATGCAGGGAGTACTTATGACAGACTAAATGGATGTTTGGAGCAACTCTCTAACAACTGCCAAACTGGGAAGATGCATTTAAATGTCGATGTATGTGAGGCCATAACCTTCAAAGGTAAGAAGAAATATATACCGCCGTATGAACCTACCATTGCCATTGGAGGTCAAACAATAAGAAACTCCAAACATATTAAATATCTGCGAGTTATTTTGAATTTTTTTATGCATATTAAATAGGAAACTCAGGAAAGTCGAATGCGTATTTTGGTCCAACCAGCGTGCAATTAAAGAAACTGGCGAACTCACTTTTAAGGTTAGATTACTTATCTACAAACAAGTAATAAGGCCAGTAATTGGGTATCCCTTCTGTTTTGGAATCACTTTCCATGAAATGGAAAGGATGCGAATTTGGAAGAGGCTGATTCTTAGGTCCTGTTTATGCTTATTGCAAGGTGTAGATAGAATCTGGCGACTGCCAGCTATATATGATTCCACCCACTTCAGCCGTATAGATACTTTTCTAATGAACATCACTCTCAGAAACGAACACATCTAATATCATTGAGTGCATTTTAGGATGAAATTCAAGACAGAAGTGCCATTGAAGAACCATACCTACCACATAAAACATAAACCTTATGGAAAAGTTAAATCTATACTAGCCAAGGCTACAATTACTTGACTTATTGGCATTGAACATTACAATATAATATAATTTCTCAGGTAAATATAACTATTTATTAAAAACATTAAAAGTCGATAAGAAATGTGGAACTTCTAAATTATATTTTGCACATTTTTTTATTTAAAAATTTGTATTTTCCCTTTTCAATCTACATATAAGAGAATTATTTTAACCACACCACTTAATGTTTTAAATATTTAGACTTTCTTTAATTAAATACACTATTTCAATATAAATTCAATTCCACAATTGTCTTCTATTCACCTTTAAAGTTTTAATAAACACATTTTTCAATTAGTTGATTTTTTTAATATTTCTCAAAAATAATTTTTATTTAATGTTACTTGACTGATAAATGATTTTTTTAGCTAAAGGAATTTTCTTGTGAAAATTGTGTATCACAGTAAAATGACATTTTGAATGACATATCCTTGCAAGGATATTTCATGGGCATGCGCTAATTTTTTGACATAGACTTATTTACAAACAAATAAAATCATGATGTAAACATTGCAACCGGTTTGTTGTTTGTAAACAAATCCCACAACAGGTTGGAAATTCATTGGATGTCAGTCTCCCCTCCCCATTTTTGAGATTTTGTTTTGATTCCCCACTTCGCAAATAATTTGCTATTTTGTTTTGATGATGCTATACGTAAACAAACTTCATAACTGGCGGTGAGATGATGTTTACCTTGAATGAAGGTCACATGTGGAAATATGTCATTGACCCCAAAAACATAAACATGGGAACAATTTAGAAGAAGGAAATCGAAAAACGTGAGCGAGAGCAAAGTGAGGCCAGAATAGCAATTAATTGGCTGAAGAATAATAAAGCAACAGGTACCGATGGATTATCAGCCGAACTATTCAAGACTGGTGGTCAGATGCTGGCCAGAATACTACAATTTGGCTAGCGGAATGCATGCCCAATGATTACAACCTCAGCATCCTATGTCCCGTGCACAGAAACGGAGACAAGACGATATGTGCCAACTATAGAGGAATAAGTCTCCTTCCCATCGCATATAAAGTGCTATCCAGGGTGTTGGTGAACGACTGATCTCAATGGTCAATGACATTATTGAACCATATCAATGCGGCTTCAGACTTGTCAAATCGACCATAGACCACATTTTCACACTGCGCCAAATCATGGAAAAGACCCATGAAAAAATACATCGACACGTTCCACCTATTTGTCGACTACAAAGCCGCATTCGACAGCCCAATCCACTAAGAGGTATTTAAAGCCATGTCTGCGTTTGGCATTCCAGCATACGGTTATGCAGGATAACTTTAACTGGCACAAAATCAGCAGTTATAATCGGAAAGGACCTGTCGGAGCCCTTCAATACCATGTGTCGTGTGACCTGTTAAACATCCTGCTGGAAAAGGTCATATGAGATGCAAATGTGAACAGAAATTGCAGATGAGGGTGGGCCAGCTCAAAAGGCATATAAAAATGAGCCAAGTGCTGGATCACGTGGAAGGGGAAGGCCACGAATTCGATGGAAAGATCATATGGAAGACAACGCCTTGGAGCATGGTATTTCAAATTGGAAGAGCTGTGCTCATGATCGAAGCGCCTGGAAATCGTTTTTAAGCTCGGCTTATGAAACAAACGTACTCTCACAAGCCAGCTAAGTAAGTATAAAACTTATATTCACATCTCTACAAAACCGGTCCTATATCAAAACGGAGATATTGTACATTGCATGTTCAATATTGTAGTGGCAAATTTGAATCCTAATCTTTAAACTGCAATTTCTTATTAATATTGACTAATTTTAAGATTTAATTTATTTCACAAGAAAGTATAATATCTGCATTACGAATAAATTCATGGCAATAAGAAATATGGTGTGTCAGTGCCATCTATCGATGGTCATGAATCAAATCAGGGACATCAATTTTTCATGCCCAACTTTTAGCAACAGATTATCACATATTTTGTCGTATCCATTTGTGTATATCCTTTTTTAACCATTTGGATTCCCAACAAATGCCATTTAAAGTACTTATTTATATTCTAGAATAGCATAAGGTAATAAGGTTACAATACTATAGTCAGATGGTTAAAAAAACGTATGTCCCATTTTTGTATTCAACATAAGATAATTAAAAACGTTGATAAAATGTTGGTATAAAATAATCATCCCCTAATGCCTGCCACGATGGTACCGCATAAAGTCCTTACACGACCACGGTTGTCCATGGCAACCAAAAAATAGCAACAACAACAAAAAAGGACATGTAGGAAGCGTAAAAAACATAAATCGTAATATTTTAGTTGTCTATAAGTCACAGTTAATTTTGCATTTCTTTAAAAGTAATGGAGGATTATGCACCAAGTCGTTATAAAATATTGGAAAAAATTGGTGAAGGCGTGCATGGCTGTGTATTCAAAGCTCTCGATTTACACCGCAAGTGTCCGGTGGCAATTAAAAAAGTTGCTTTAAAAAATAAATTTGGAATTATTTCACTGAACACCTTGAGGGAAATAAAAACATTGCAGCTAGCGAAATGTGAATATGTAAGAAAGGATATATGTACACATTCTGGCCATGGAAAAATTTAACGGATACCCTTAGTAATTAAGACATTGATAATTTTAACGTCCTTAAAATAAACCGGTGCTTGTGATGGTCCCTCTCAAATGTTTCATTTAATTTACATCAATATTTATTTTTATTAATTACATATCATTTCTTTCACCAGATCATTACTATCATTGACGTTTTTCCCGATGTTATTGGCCTTTCACTGGTCTTGGAGTATATGCCCGAAACACTGTATGGCAAATTGAAAAATGAAGTTAGTCCCCTAAGCCGGCAACAGGTTCGAAAATTTGCCCTAATGATGCTTAAGGGTATTCAATATTTACACAGATTAGAAATAATACATAGAGTAAGTATTCGATTTAAGTAATTTTATATTTATTTAAGTTTACTATATATTATAATAGGATATAAAACCCGCTAATCTGCTAATAAGTGAAAATGAAATTTTAAAAATAGCCGATTTTGGTTTGGCACGGCTTTATTTCCCCGAAGATGAGGCACGTCTCTATTCGCCACAAGTTTCGACACGATGGTATCGTGCACCCGAAATACTTTGGGGTAGCCAAAAGTATGGACCGCCCGTGGACATGTGGGCATCTGGGTGTGTTATTGCTGAAATGTTGCGGGGTGTGCCATTATTTGCGGTATGCTATGCAAATACCATTAATTCGAAAAATTACTTTAAGAGCGGTTTTTTAGGGCACCACCGACATTGAACAATTGGCTCTTGTTATACGTACTTTGGGTACTCCCCGGCTCACAGAATGGCCAGAATTGACATCATTACCGGATTATAATAAAATTAGGTATATTTCTTTTTTAAATAATGATAATAATTTGACTATGTAAATATTATTAAAATGCGATATTATTAACATTTTTTTAGATTTCCCAATGCTGTGGGCATGCACTGGGATAATTTATTTCCCAGCTGCACCTATGCTGCCGAAATAAACTTAGTATCGAATTTAGTTGTATACAATCCAAAAAATCGTTTAAGTGCAGAAGAAGTGAGTAGCACAACCAACATCATATTTTATAAGTTCTGATTTACATTAAGCAATTTTCTTTGCGGCAAATATCAGTTTGATGGTTAGATAGGCAAATGCTTGTCATTCCCCTAAATTCTCTCAACCTCAAAGCGTGGTTTTATATTTATCGGGATCGGTGTTGAGAGTTTCTCTCTTTTGAGAGAGTAATTAGTGTTGCGCTATTTTTATTCACAAAAGGTACGAATTGACATAAACGTACCAAAACAAAAATTAGATTTCTTATAATTCGTGAATACATTTACGCTTAAATTATAAAATATATTATTTATGCAAATAACTGGTATAAATATTGGCCAATATTTCTCGATAATTATTATCATTTGAAGTAGAATTTTAGGTACCTTTTCTTACTTTTTTGGTCCTACCTGTGGTAATGTTTTCCAACACAATTCACAATTTACCACTGAGAGAGAGAAACTCTCAGCACCGATCCCGATAAATATAAAACCGCAAACTAAATAATTGCGCCAATAAAAATTGCCTAATGTAAGTCAGGACTAAATTAAATATAAATACATAAAAAATAATATATATTTGCAGGCCACAAAACACGAATACTTTCAACGATAGACTACAATTAATTGTAAGATACTATTTCAGCAAAAAATTTAATGAAATTTATTCATAAAATTAAGTAATAATAAAAAACAATGTCGATGAAAAACAGTGTATTGATCTATTCTAGAAACTGCTGGAATCGTTTACTAATCGAAATTGTTTTCGATCTTTCTTTTATACATTTTAAAAAGTTATCGTTGGTTTGCCGTTTTTTGAATGCGGGGAAAGCTTAAAGTACATGATTGAACCATGTATGGAAAATAATTCATCAATATTCCAAAAATATTGTTTTTTTAGTCATAATCATCATCAATATCAAACAAATATCGGAAATATTTTATAACAAATGTATTTCAAATTCAATGAGTATAAACATAGAAAAAACACTTAACATCTAATTATTTTGTGATAAACTTAGACGGGTATTCCACGTTCTCTTACAGCCAGGACAGGTTGATTTCTTTATTAGATATTTTCGAATACACTCCCGGTGTAATTTAACCTGACACTCGGAACATTTAACATCCTGCAATACACAATACACAAATAATTATGTTACAAATTTCCAAAATTGCATTTACCACTCACCCAATAGACAATAGTACGACATAGAATACAATCTTTTATATAATCAGGGAAATGTTGTTTTAAATAATTTCCATACTCCACCATGGCACGAGGACCTAAATAAATTTTATCATCTTTTTGCAAAAAATATCCCTGTGATGTCCATATAATTTCCAAATCTTGTATACGTTGTTTGCTCAGTTTTCGTTGCACTGTGTCCGGTATAAGTTCAGCAACTCGATATATATCATTCCAAGCAAAACCATAATCCTCACGGCTAACCAATGATTCGAGTAATTTGTAAAAATAATTACGTTCCGTATCGGTGTATTGGGGTTGAAATTTACACGCCAGATTAGCAATTAACATCCCAAAGACCAAATATTCCTGCCCATCTAGCGGATGTTTAACAAATTGTAATGTTTGATCGTATTTTCGTATCTCTGTATCAATTTCAACAATAAGACCCTTTAGAGCCGTTGGACTGTCCGGTTCACGAACATCATCTGACAGAGAAAAAATAATTATTATTTTAATTATTTTTTTTTGTCTTAACGCTTACATGCATCGCATAGTTTCTCAAGAATTTCCTTAACCTTGTCCATTGGTATGGTTCCATGATTAATGGCAGCTTGAAGAAGTTGTTTCTTAACCTTTTCCATCAGTAAAGTTGTATAAAACCGGGCTTGTTTGCCAAATTGACCATCAATTGTTTGTAGTAAAAACCCCCTCCAGTAAAAATAAACAAATTCTTCTTCTTTCAAAGCATTGGCATTCACCACGAATGATGTTTCGAGGTTTTCTATGAATGTTACAAGGTAGATGCATTAGTGGAAAGTTTTTACAGTATACCATGATTCTAGCCAAATTAACAGCATAGGCAGGAGGAGTATTCACTCCAATGATTTTTATGGATTTTACTAATAACGTGAAAAATAAATGTCAGATTTTATTTTGAAAATCGGATTGGGGGTATGATTTAGATATTTATTCATTTCTTTAAGGCATCCTCTCAGAACCGGTTACCCGGTTATTTGACTTGGAAGTTCCGGTTCTGCGAATCTGATACAAAACTTATGAAAATGTTTTTTCATTGAGAGGTGATATGAATATGATCTATTAATAAACCATTTGGAAGGAATTGTCAAAAAACCGGGTTGTGAACCCTGATTTTTTTGAAAAGCTCCCTAAAAGTCGTTCACCAATCCCGAATTAAATTACAGACTATATTTTCCACTTTCCAAAATGGTACAATATGTGACTGTATCTGTTGTGGATTGTTAAAAAAAACATAAATCCAAGGCCGAAGGCCGGCTATCCGGCTACTTGACACGTAAAAGGTGGCCAAAAAAGGCAAATTGGAACCATATATCTCCTGAAGTACACATTTCCCAAGCAAAAACATATGTTATTGAAATCAGGAAAGAAATATACCAAATTTGGAAATTTTTGGAACAGTTATGTTGGTTTAATCAGGAAACAAAAGGCTACCAATGTAAAATTTTCAGATTATTCTGAGAAGTGGCCAAAAAAAGGCAAAATGTCCTTTTTCTTGTCCTTCTTTCTTGGCAAACTCTTTTCAATTTTCACGATCCACTCGAAGCACTAATCTAATTATTCCTAGATTAGATGTATATATGGAAAAGTCGTTTGTTGTAAGAGTGCCCCGGTTATTTAATTCGCTGCCAAGTCACTTGAAATTGTTTAATTTAATTTTTTGCCGTTCCGGAATAAACTAATTGCTTACCTAAAAGAGCAACATCAGCAGATTATAGTATATTTTTCCCTCCCTCTTTGCCATAAGAGGTAGATGAAAGACGTACTTTTTGAGTAGTCATTTTTGACGTAATGTTATATTTCTTGCGAATCGCTAACTTGTTAATCTAGAGAAAAGATTTATTTTATTTAAGATACTAATGTTTGCCTCGTATATGAGGTTTTTTGAGAGTAGTTGTTCTCCTTAGAAGTCCCACTGAACGTATGATTGTTAGAAATTAATAAATATTTTTATGTTATTTTGAAATGAATGTATGTCAAATTCTTTGTTCAAATTTATTGTAATTGTTTCTTGGTCATTCGGCTTTTTATTACAAAACATTGAAATTAATAAATAACATTTTTTTTTTTTTGAATAAAAAAGTAGTCAATATTGTGTATTTATTGTAACTTTGGAAGCGTATATCACAAGTATATATTTCCCCCCGAAAAAAAGGTATGTCGTTATAATCAGGAAACAAAAGGCTACCCATGGTACAAATTTCCAAGCTGTCAACAGGCTGTCATTAGATGGTGAAGATACGCAAAACCCGTTTTAAGGGAATTTTCTCGATCGATCGAACTTACTGTAGGGATCATTACATGACACTACAGAATCGGCTCTCACCTCCAGAATCGGGCTCTCACCTCCAAGCGGGATGTCAATGGTTTGGATTATGTATACTTAAAAAAAAAAACAAATTTTAAAACCAATGTGGATATACAGAGGTTTAAGCGAAAAATTGGACCCCCTTTTATCTGGAAGTATGGTCTTAAAAAAATTGGAACTTAAGAACTACCAGTCGTAAACATTTCCAAATGATTCACGATTTGCCTCTAAACTCCAACTGGTTTTACAATTTATAAATAGTTTTTATGTGGCCTGTTCCCGTACCTCAATAATCTACTACTTATGGTAGAATTACTACTATTGATATGATAGAATTCTGAAATTTCAAGTGCACTTAGTTCGACTGCAGAAAAACGTATAGGCATATAACCAAATATTAAGCTCCGAAAGAAGTATAACACAATAAAACAATAATCTCATTTTAAGCCTTTTACGTATATCTATATTTGTAAATGCATCTAAAAACAACAATAACAGTAATAATCCATTATGAATTTTCCGATTCCTTAAATCTGTAAATAAAAATCAATAAAATCAAATGTTAAAAAAGTAAAAAATTTGATATCTACATTTTGGATACTTACTTGCATTTGAGACAGGTAAAAAATACCGTCTGTCCTTCATCGGCAGATCGTAGCTGTAGTGTGGCATACGACATTTTATCATGACCGCATTTGGAACATTTTCTCTCCACAACAGGTCCCTCAGCTGATGAACTTTCCTCTTCTTTTGTTTTTACCAATTTATCAGGATCATAGTTGTTGAAGTGTATAGTATATTCAACAACCTGGTCACCAAATACTGAGGAGTGGAGGGGTAATAATGTATTGTTTAGAATTGAATCAAATGAAAATGAATGAATTGAGGTATTTACCGTCTGGTTTATATGTCTGTTTACAATTGTAACATGTCACATCTTTACTACTGTCCAATGGTGGAAAAATGGAGCCACATGATGGACAAAATCCCGGTGTTGATGTAAACAATTCCATTGTATTGTAAAAAAAACTTGAAAAAGGAACCGAAAGAAATAGTTATTTTAGTTATTTTCCCCAATGAAAACAAAAACACACAATGACAATTCAAAACACGTGCATGTGGCGTTGCCATATCTGTGGCAACATAACTTTATGTGGGGAATTGTGCTGCATAAAAATTCCCTTAAAATATTTCTAAAAAATCTTTTATTTATGATGTTTTATTTGATATATATTTTCATCACTAGATTGTCATTATTAAAAAATGTATCCAAAATAAGTGGGTAATATTGATAATTTTTGGAAGATTTGTCGACCAAAGATATATCGAAATTTAAAAGAACAGGCAAGCGGTATAATCCATCTTCTATGGACACATTTCAACATCATATCTCGATTCCTTTGATAAGTATTGATTTGAGCGCGGTTACAACTGACGATACAACGCCTCAGAATTTTATTCCGATCAATAATATATGTACATATATACTATATTGAGTTGGAAATGATTATTTCGATGATTATACAAATGGAATGCAAATTAAACAAAAAACTACTTTCTTCAATGTAGGAAATTTTGAAATTTAGATTATTATATTTTGTATTAGCAATTTTGTTACAACTGTACAATTTTTCCGCTGTTAATCTATGTTTGAAAAAAATATGTCTTAACCATTTTAATTTGAACCTATAATCCATATACCAATTTTATAAGGTATGTAGGTATTTGGCCTTATGTAATAAAATTTAAATTCAAGCTGTTATAATCCGTCCATTACTTCCACCTACCACATACCTACCTTTTTATAAAATAAATTAAGCTACTTTAATTTTTGTATACAGTATCCTGGTTTTGTATACATTCATATATACAACACCAAATACTGGGGAGGTGTTAAAAAACACACACATTTATTTTGACCATTTTAGACAAGCATTTAACAAAAAAGGCTATTTTGATTTGGCTTTATCATCCTTTTTATCCTCCTCACTAGCATCCGTTTCATTTTCCTCCTCCGATTCTTCCTCAGAATCATCATCTTCGTAATCATCGTCTTCATCTTCGTCATCGTCGTCTTCATCATCATCATAGTCTTCGGCACCATAACTAGATGTTCCAGCTCCGGCACCTGAGTAGCCACCATAATAACCACCATAGCCGCCACCGTATTCATCATCACTATCCATTGCACCGCCTTGTTGTTGGCGACCAAACTTATGCGATCTGGTCGACATACTCAAATCCTTTGTAACCGATGTCTCATAATTGCACTTGGGACAAGGTATAGCCTTGTTCTTTTCATATTTGAAGCCCTTGCGCCGTACATGATCCTCACAGTAGCATGTCTTGCAACGCAAGCATGAGTATTGGCCCAAACGATTGCAAGATTGACACTTGAAGTTCTCACTTTCCAACACCTGACACGAAGCTTGATGTTCAAATTGGTCATCTTCGCAAAGGAAGCCATTGCAAAAGGAGCACTTAAATATACGACCACCATGGTCCCATACACCTCTCTCGCACTCCAAACAAACGGCATTCTGCAGGGGACAACTGCAGGCATGTGTCTGCAAACATTTACGTCCATGGCACACCCAAGCTTCACAAAAATCGCATATGGCTCCCACCATTCCCATACCGGTGGTAAACACTCCGGCATGTTTGATGACACAGTCACCCGTCTTGAGCATACATTTCACTTTGCCACATTGAGCACAAATCGGAAGACGTTGCATACTTTGGCAAAAGTAACAAAATGCTCGAGATTTCTGCTTTCTTTCGCATTTATCGCATTCCATTGGCGCATTGCAGGGGAAATCGGCCAAGGGCACTTCACGGCTTCGAATCTCCTTAAGGCGAAGCTTTTGCTTTTCGGCTTTTTTCCTCTGTCCAGTCTTTTTCTTGGGCATCTTGATGATCCTATGCTATATGGGTGGCGATGTCGTGGGAAATGAGTAGAGTTGGGTAGTTCCGGAACGAACTAGTTCATTGGAACTATTCCGAGAAAGGAACGAACGGAACTAGTTCCAGTTCTTTAATTAATATAATTCCTTTTTTTTTTGACCTATTTGAAGCAAAGGAACTGTATGGAGCAAAGGAACTATAAAGAGCAAAGGAACTATATGGAGCAAAGGAACTATATATGGAAAAACGAAAAAAAAAAATAATAAAAGAGAGAGAGAGATTCAAAAGAACAGCGGGAAGCCTCCAAGACTACAGCCTTCATAAAATTCGCTTGTTAATCGTCGTTCTGCCAAGACTCAAGCGACGTCGTACGCAAACCTTCACCAACAAATGGTCTGTTCCAGTACTTTTTATACCCTCCACCATAGTATGGAGGGTATATTAATTTTGTCATTCCGTTTGTAACTCATCGAAATATTCATTTCCGACCCTATAAAGTATATATATTCTTGATCAGGGTAAAATTCTAAGACGATCTAGCCATGTCCGTCCGTCTGTTGTAATCACGCTATCTTCTGAAGGAATTGAGATATGGTGCTGAAATTTTGCATAGGGTTGTCTTTTGTCTGCAGGCAGGTCAAGTTCGAAGATGGGATATATCGGTCCACGTTTAGGCATAGCTCCCATATAAGGCTACCCCCCAATTTTCGGTATTTTGGGGTTCTTGAGCGCGTTTTTCAAGCGAATTTGTAGTAAATGTATCCACAAAAAATTATAAATATAGGTCCACTTTTTCTTGTAGCCCCCATATAACGGTACCTCCTAATTTTCAGTATTTTTTGGGTTTTTATCGTATTTTTCACCGAATTGGCTGTAATTTAGTATTTTGTGTTCTTAGCAGGTACCAAATCTCTCCACAAAAAAATTTAAATATAGGTCAATTTTTTCGGATATCCCCCATATAAGGGTACCCCCAATTTCGGTATTTTGGGGTTCTTGAGCGCGCTTTTCAACCGAATTCGCTGCAATTTTGTACATTGGGTTCATATTGCGTACCAAATATCTCTACTAAAAATTATAAATATCGGCCCACTTTTTCTGGTAGCCCCCATATAAGGGCACCCCAAATTTTCGGTATTTTGAGGTTCTTAAGCGCGATTTTCAACCGAATTCGCTGAAATTTGGTACAGTGGGTTCATATTGGGTACCAAATATCTCTATTTAAAATTATAAATATCGGTCCACTTTTTCATTTCAAATACCTGTCAGTATACCTGTGGTGGAGGGTATCCAAAGTTCGGCCCGGCCGAACTTAACGCTTTTTCACTTGTTTAATAGTAAAGCTAGTAAAAGGGAAACATTTCAAGTCTCAGAGTACAAAATAATTTGAAAAGTTCGGGAACGCAAATCTAGTAAATATGCCAAAATTAGGAGGCAATACTTCAAAATCAACATAACAAAAAGTTTACAAAGAGAAAGCCATTTTGTTTTGTGCTCTCTTAAATTTGATTCAATGCTTTACCAGTTTTATGGGTTCAGGAACGGTTTTCGAGTAAAAAGTTGCAAAACTTGTAAAATTAGTAGATTCTTTTAGGTTTTGGAACGGAGCTAAAATAAAAACGACGACTGAAAAAATTGAAAAACGTTCCACCTGCTAACGAATGGGAGGAGAAGACAAAATGGCCGATAAAGATGAACTCAAAATGGTATAACCGAAAGTTTACGAATGAGGTGGGATAGAGATTAAATGGAAAACGTGTTGTTTACGAATGAGGTTTAGGCAAATTATGATTAGGGATAAGTAAATCGACTTTCGATTAATCGACTTTTTGTATTGAAAAGTCTAATGCCATGTACAGACGATTTTCGATTTTGGGCTGATGTTAATTGTTGATGTTGGCAACAAATCGATTTTGTGTATTTTAACTTTTGGATAATGGATTTGATTTTTAAGTTTTCTATTGCATTTTGAATTACGACTATATAATCGGAGGGTCGATATAGTTTTTTTAACTTTTTCCCTTTATTAAAAAAAGTGTTTTAATGCCGTACAGCATTTATCATAGTATGTGTTATTTTTTGAATGTTTATTTATGTATGTGTGACACACACAATGCATGAAGAAAATCAAAATAGTTTTGATTTTGAAAATGAACCCCTATCAATCTGGTGAATAATATTCATTTTGAAAGTTGTCAGTAAATAATTTTTTGTACAAAAATAATAAAATTGTGACGGAATAAAAAAACAAGTGAATTTACGACTCAAAATCCAATTTTTGGGACAAAAATCGATTTTTTGGAATAGTGATTGAAGAGTTTGCCATACACTAGTCAATCTCACATATACAAAAAGGGGTTCATCGGCATGACGGCATGATTTATAGTGTATGGGGCCCTTAAGAATGAAATAAGTATTCGTTTACATCAAAACGAACTTGCACTCACCATGGAATGATAGCCAATTGGCCTCAAATCAAACAGAAGAAGTACTTTAAAGTACTGGAATTCCAGCCAAGCATGTTTACCAATATAATAACAATTTCATGAATGTAAAGAGGTCTATATAAATCCGGAAGGAACTCTTTATAGCCGCACAAAAAATCCCATATTTTATCCTTGTGCCGGGAAAGTACAATGAAGATACTTCAAAATTATAATTTGGAAAGATTGGTTACATTTGATTGCTGAAATTAAAATCTTACCTAAATTGCAAAAAAAAAAAATGGGATATTTATTAAAAACTTAAGCCGTATATATTTATTATTTCATGTTATTATTGTAATTGATATAGTTGACCTTTGGACTTTTTAAAATGGGTTGGTTTGAGGCCAGAGAAAAATAAAAACCAATGTTTCCAACATTTGGAAACTGAACTTATAAAAGAGTGAAACAATTTGTGGAAAATTAGTTTAACTCCCTGATGATGATCATAGAATATGATCGAAATATTTGATAAATACAAATCAGTAAAATTAAAAACACTTGTTTTTATTTTCTTCTAACCTCGAGCCAAACTATTAAAACAAAGATAATTATTTCATATTGTTTATTTATTCATATTATAATTAAATTTATTAAAATTTAACATTTGAGGGAAATGTTCTTAACTCGACTTATTTGATTTTAAAACATTTATAACTGTGGCATGTTCCGCCAATAAATCCAGTAGTACTTCAATTTTTACATTGCACATATTATTTTCCTCTTCCAGTGTTTTTATGCGACGATTCAAACGAACAACTTCGTCAACATCACCCTTTCGTGCAGAATGTATCCATATACCATCGGCAAAACGTAATTCCTTATTACCCAAATTCAGCGATATCTGTTTGTATTCATCCAAGTCTTCATTGACCATGGGAAAACCAGTATTACAGCGTCCCGTGCGTGGTGGAATAATTTTCGATTCGAATTTTTTATTGAATAATGGCATTTTAAAAACGTTCACCTTTTCTTCGTGTCGACAAATAACTGAATGAATGATTTAAAAGCATTGCATACAAATTTTGAAACCATGACAACCCTTCTGAAGAAGAATGACCGTTACCCCTGACAACACGGAATGGTCAAAATTTAATTTAATAAAGGGGTTGTTCATTGACCACCATACAAATTCAATTCACCTAATAAAATTTCTCCTGTTTTTACTATCAAAAAATATGTTATATTGCAAATTATTTATAACAAAAAATGGATTCACAGCATCCTTTGGTCACCAATTATCCTAAGTACGATCAGTTTATTTTTTTAATTAAAAAGTTTGTAAATCAACCCAACCTACAATTTCTTTATAGTATTTTAGAAGAAATCACAAAAGGCTGTGAAAAATTAATTATCGAAACTCAACGTGATTTGGAAATTTTTCGGGTATTATTGTCAAAATATTATTTACATACATATATTATTTTTTTGAGAAATAAGTTAATATATATATATATATATATATTTATTTCCATATGCAGCAAGAGCAGATTGAATTTAAAAGGCAAATACACAAGATTCAGGATGAAAATAATGAGCTAAATTTCAAACTGGATGCATATAAAAATTCCACATGCAATGGTGAGACCCTAGACGATGCTACAAGGGAAAAATTAACAAATGATGCTGTCAAAAATGTTATGATACAAATTGAATATTTACAAGCTGTAAGCGTTATATGTAATTAGAATATCAGAAAAATAAAAGAATACTGTTATGTTTGATATATTTATAGGAAAATAAGGATCTGAAGCTATTGAATAAAAATTGTAATAAAACAATTGAGAATTTGGAAAAGGAAATCCAAGACTATCGAAATCAAATATTTAATCCAACATCAGCGTGCGAAGTAAGTTTTAAATATATTTTTTCTTGAAACCTTTTTTGATACTGCAACAACCTATTTTTTCGATATCATTGTAGTAAATTCTAGTACATTTTTAATTTTTTGCGGATTATTTTGTTATATGTTACAGCCAATCTTTATATTTACAGGTGAAACAGAAATATGCAACAGCTCTAAAACTCTTGGAAGGTACCATTGTCAGTCAACAAAAGGAAATAAAAGAACAAAAGGAAATGATCAATAATCTATTTGAACAGAAAAGACATTTAAAAGCTCACATTGAGTCATTGGAAAAGTCTATAGAAGGTAATTAAAGAAGAAATTTCACAGTCATAAAAAATTTATGTTCAATAACACAATAGGCATTTTCATTAATAAATAATATGTATAAATTATTACTGAATACCAAGATATATTAATAAGGTCAACCCGCAAACTATAGTCAGCTGTTTTTTTCTCAAGTCTTATGTCAAAAATATGGACTTTATTTACATTGTCCAAGATCTATTCATAGGGTCATTCCAGCTAGTGAAAGTCAGTTGTCTTTCTCAAGTCGAATGTCAAACATTGGGTTTTTGTTTACGTATTCATAATTTAAGTCAATTCACAAAAATAGATTTTGACAGCAAACTTGAGAGCATCTGATCTCCCAGGACATCCTTATTTATAGGCTTTGACATTGTCATGATGGAAATCATTTTACAACAATGGTTTTTGACAGCAAAATTGAGAAGTAGCTGATATCTGATCTTGTCTCTCTGTATGACCTTACTAATAGGACTTGGCTGGATGCTATTCTCAAGAGTGTTAATTGATGGAGTATAATTAACATATGTTTTGAAGCGCGTTTGAAATACTAAATCCTCTAGATTTTAAATGTATATTCCCTAGCGTATACGTCAGCTTCGTCCTATTCACAAATTCAGTGCATTATATTGGACCATAATTTTATATCAATTTACGATGATCCACATTTTTCCGTTTTATTTTTAGAAAAAGAAAAACTACATTCGAAATTTGATGACAGTGTAGAGCAGGTCCATAAATTACAAAAGCAACTTACGGAATATACCCAACAAAATAAAGAATTGGAGAAATCGTTAAAAGCGGCAAAACTTTCTATCGAAGACAGGTTTAAACGTGAACAAATAGCTCTGCAAAAAGTACAGGACGCCTTGGCTATAGCCGAAGGTGCTGTGGCCGATAAGGAAGAAGCTTTGAAACGTGAAAAAATCGTAAAAGAAGAATGTGATAATATAGCATCGACCATTGGTCAGGTTATGGATGAGGCAGCACGTAAAGTGGACAAAGATATGGAAGAGATACGAAAGAAATATCTCGAAAAGGAAAGACAGCTAATAAAAGAGAAAACAAAGGTAAGCCATAACATGAAATTGTATCAGCAAAGCTAATCGATTTCTTGTTAATAATAAAATATATTAATAGTATCGGTATTTAATACAGAATGATTTTTTTTTTAAATTTGGTGTAATTGATTAATTTGGTAGATTTTATATAAGGCTCCTATACATTTAATTTATTTTTATGGATAACATAGATATTGTCATTTTTTATTATATTATGAATTCTTTTTAGATGCGCGAGGAAATTCTTAATCAGACTAAACTATATCAAATTCTCAATAACAGATGTAATAGATTTGAACAAAATTACAAAGATGCTCTAAAGGACAATGAACGATTAACAAAACAATTAGAATTGGTTGCAAAAACTATTGTAAGTCAAATTCGTATTCAATTCTTTCCGTAATAATAATTTAAAATTTGTACATAATATATTAATATCTCAACATTTAGAGTGAAATGGAACACAAATTGCTACAACAAGAATCCAATTACAACAATAATAACAAATTGGGAAGGTATGTATACACAATATACACATATGATATCGCTCATTTCCTGCAAGACAGGCATAACTCAAAAAAAAAAAACGATTTTGCAGAAAATGCGTTTTAAGTTTTCAGTTTACTCACAATCAAGGGACAGAGGAACTTCTACATCTTCTCAATTAGAGTGTGTTAGAGATATTCATATGCATTTTTTACACAACATGGGGCCTATTGTAGCGAACATCATTAACTCGAAAATCGCGTTTTTGAGTTATGCCTCTCCTGCAGCAAATGAGCGATATATTCTTATCATATTTTTCATTGACATCAGACATTCAATTGATGATGCCGAAATGGAGATTAAATATTATATGGAAACAAATAAACAGTTACAAGAGAGGTAAGAAAATAAATCAAGGCAATCGTTTAGATATTATTACTTCAAAATAGTCAGAATTAATATTTAGAAACATAAAAAAATAAAATATGGTATTTACAAATTAATAATTCAACATTTATTATTCTAGATATCGTATGACAATACAAGAGTTGGCCAAATCGTTTGAAGAACAAATACATCGACTACAAACAGAAATGGCAAATTTAAGAGCTGAAAACAAAATTTTAAAATCACAAAGACATTGCAATAAAACTTAAAAGCAATATGGCATTAATATTCTTGGTTGTGGTTGTATATTTTCTATATTGTTATTTACCTTTATATATAACATGTTTATTATTTTATTTTTTTGTATAAAATTAAATAAATACATTATTTTTTCAACACAACATTAAGATTTTTGATTTAATAATGAAACTAAGTATAAAAATGTTTTTTTTATTAAAATGAAACTAAATTAAAAAAATAGTTTCGTTATGCGTTTAAAAGGAAATAAACTTGTTTTTTTCGTCTATCCAACATAAAATGAAACTAAATTAAAAAAATAGTTTCGTTATGCGTTTAACTGAGTCGTTCTGCCAGGAAATAAACTTGGAAACCAATAACTAGGTTCAGTATCCTGTTCGTCTATCCAACATAAACCTTCACCAACAATTTTGTCCAAGGATTGACGTGCCCTGTAGTCAGGCCAACTAAAAATATACATTTTTTTAATTTTACAATTAAAATATAATTTTGTTATGTGTGTGTATGTTTTCGAATGTACTAACCCCAATTGTTCCATAAGCATACTATGTGTTACATATCCCTGTTCTGTATCAGATGCCAGTGTCAAAATTGTAGTTTCTTCCATACTCAGTTCGCCGGGTATAGATTGAACAATATATTTTCCCTTGCCCAGTTTGTGTACAACAAATCTGAAATATGTAATTGTATATATAATGTCCCTTATATAATATAAAAGGAATAAATGGAAACAACATGAATGGAAATGGGTTAAATAAATAAACTTCTGTAGTTGTATCTTGTATATAAGAAATTATTACTAGTTATTCAATATGAAAAGTAATGTCCACACCTTCTTGTAATTTTAATATATTTTATAGAAAAGGGGAACACCTTTAGAAGTTATTTTGCGAATACTTTTAGGTGACTACCAAGAAGAAAATCTTTATATAAAATGTTGATGACAAACTACTCGAAGAGGCAATTACTACGTACAATAAAACAATTAGAATTATAAATGTAAATTAAGGTAAAAAATATTAAAAATATAAATTTCAATCTGACAAATTGAATTAATATTGCTCAAAAAGGGGTGTAAAACTGCTCAAACAATATTATAATGAAAATATATAAAATTAAAAAAATATTATTTAAAAGGGAGGGATTGAAACTACTCAAACTTCTTAAATATTAACATTAATTGGGCAATACAAATTTAATGTGAGGGGTCGGAACTACTTAGCTCTCTTAACATATTTATAGTTTGTATACATGTTATTGTTGAATAAAAATTAAATTAATTGGAAATATTAACAATTTAGAGATCGGAACTACTCAAAATTGGGCAATAAAAATTTAATGTGAGGGGCCGGAACTACTTACTTAACATATTCATAGTTTGTATACATGTTATTTTCCTTTAGTCCATATGCCTCATTTGTGGGCTCATTGGTAAAATAAAATTAGATTTCCTTTTTTATTTTTATTATAATAAATTTCATTATAACCATGAACTCGCATTTTTTAATTTAAAAACCCCCCGTTTTCGGTCTTTGGAGAAATTTTAGGGTCTATATTCCGTTAGGTTTGTACGAGCCATTCAACATTTTGGAAACAAAATATTGTTTTCAAATTTAATGATCCCTATTTCGGAAAACATGTACTTATGCAAGAAAAAAATATATAATCGGGACACTAAGACCTACTTTTTGTCACGAGTGTAAACTATACCTTTGCAATATAAATCACTTACCCATTGCCAAATATACTCAGTTTCTTTGTGGCCATAAGTATATCTTCATTTGTTATTTCTTGATGGACGGCGCTTTGACCTCTTGCTGCAATCAAGCGGCGTCTCAGTTCGTTTAATTCCATTAAACCCCCTATGGATGGACAAAATAAAAATCCCTTTGGTCATAAAAGAAACACATACTTGTATTTTGTGTCCATTACCTGTTTTCTGATTCAATGCCAAACATACCTCAACGACTTGTACCCCCAGTTCATAGTAAAAATCACCCATACCGAGAACACTCCAGAAACCTTTACCCGAAGCCAACGGATCGACTCCGATAGCAGCACACATTTCTTGAAATTGTTTACGAAATTGTGCATTTTTCTTAATGTCCTGCTTATGACTAATCGAGAATTCTTCTAGCTTTTCACGAAACACTTCCATTTGTTTGGTCATCTGTTCCAGTTGACTTTCTTGCAAGTCGTTGCCTTTATCTTTTAGTTTCTCAGCGGCAATTTGTTGTTGCTGAATAGCTCCAATGCCGACGCGACGTCTCATTTTTTGGGGATAAAAGCCGGGTAATTTATGAAGGATACAAAAGGATAGGACTATTATTGATTTTTGTGTTAGTTTAAAGAAATATATGGTTCAATGGAATGATTCACTGTAATGAGCAAACGGAATTTAGTTTTGAAGACAACAGTACACTGTAAATTGATAACAAACAGCTGTTAAGGTGTGCGTTTTCTTTAATTTGTAATTTTTTAGAACAAATAAATGGATGGTAAAAGAATTTATGTAAAAAGTACAAAATTTATCCAGCCTAAACAACAAAAATCAAGTAAAAATCAAAAGTATTTGATAATTATTGTTGTTATTTAAAGAAATATTTAGTTCATTGAAATGATTCACTGTAATGAGTCAACGGAACTTAGTTCTGAAGACAACGGTGTACTGTGAATTGATAACAACAGCTGTTAAGATGTTTTTTTTTTAATTTTTTTCCTTATTAAATCCTCTCCCTCCTGGCTCACGTCCTACTAATAGTTAGAATGAGGTGTTGCAAATAGAATGACACATTTAATATATCCTTCACCATTATAGTGATGGGCAAAAAAAAAAACAAACAAATAATCAATTCACATCATGATACAGGATATTAAACCAAGTAGTACAGGTCGCACATATGATCCGAATGGCACAGCTCACGTAATCGGTCTAAGAACGAACCCCAGTAAAAATTGGTTCAGATTCAGATATAGCTCCCATTATTAAATGGGAAACCCAATCTTCCTTTCTTGTACAAATTATCAACGTATATTAAACATTGATTCCTTTAAAATTTAATAATAAAAAAAAACAAAACTTTACATTAGATTGTTTTCTTTATTTTCATGTGAACTTATCTATATAGAGGGGGATAAGGTTTTTCTGCTCATCTATGTTTTTGTATCTTCTTATTATATAAACCGCAATCTTTTCAAAATGTGTTTTACAAAGTAGGAGGGGGATACACAGAAACACATAGGCAGGATGGTTGTTTTTCTTGAAGATGGAATAAATTTGCAGAAATGTCATATATTTTATTTTTTGTTTTGGTTTTTGTTATTTTTTTCATTACATATCATGTTCATTATAAGAATAGCACACATATGCTTTAATGTATATATGTATGTAGTATATTTTTGGTAGGTAGGGCGGGGGATTGTGTTTTTTGGATGGACAATTAAATATTTTTTTGTTTTGTTTTTGGAAATACATAAAAAAGAATATGTTGTTTTTGTTTTGTTTTTCTTCAAGTGGTAAACGTAATAACTGACTGATGGATCGACCGTTGCCTACTATAGAGAAAGAACCATAGAGCAAATTGGAAACAACAACAAATCCCTACCATAGGAGAGTAGCATTGCCGGGTTTCTAACAACTTGTGTCTAAAGGTTACAACTATGTGGGGCGGCGATCGATCATCATCATTTCTACATATTCCTCTACACTATTTTGTATAATTTTGTTACAGTTTAAATTTCTTTTCTTGCCTTTTTTTCTTGGTTTGTAATCATAATTTTAAAGTTAAAAAAATACATAAAGAAAAAGAGCTTTTTAAGAGGTAAAAATAATAAAAAAAGGAGAGAAGAAGGAAAGACGAATAATAATGGCGCCTATATATTACGCGTCAAAATGTGAATTCTAATATGTTGCTACAATCTAATCATCCATACTCTCGTTTGTTCTGTCTGGAGAGGCATTGCCATTTTTCGGTGATGCTGAGCGGGATCGTGATCTGGAACGAGAACGAGAACGGGATCGGGATCTGGATTTGTTGTCACGAGAAGCAGAACGATCGCTGAAATAATACGATTATGGAAAAAGAAAAAATGGAAACATATTTGAAAATTAGCAAAAAGTACTGGAGAAAAATATGGAGGGAACACACAAAACAATTATTGTATACAAAATTAGAATGAAAATACAAAAAGCAAAGGCATTCTGAAATTGATGAAATGCAGCAGCAAAAGAATTAACAAAAAACATCAGGAATATATGTCAGGTTGATAATTTTTTACAAAATATTTTCAATAAACATTGCAAAATGCCTTTAATAATATAGAGGAAAAGCAGCAGAAAAGAAAATAAATGAAAATGTTTATAAAGGAGTAGAAAAATATCGTACTGCACCATCACATGTAATATTTAGGAGGTTGTCCTTACTGGAAATATTTTTCAAATTAAAATTTTAAATTATCCAAACATTTTAGAATTTGTAGCAATATGGGAAGAGGACTAAAGGTCTACTGAATGTTTTCATAATAGAAAAGGAATCAATAATAATAAAAAAAAAATACATTGTGATGGCACTTACACGAGAAAGGGAGATAGGAAACAGAAATTTGAATTTTCGATTCGTCTCTTACTTGTAGTAGATAGGATCAAATTTTAAGATCTGTTTTGTTTTTGGATAAGTTTTTTTCCAAACGATTAAAAAAATAGATATTTTTAAGAGTTTATGCAAAACAAATTCAAATTACAAACGGAAGAAGAATACAAATACAAATTACAGGGGGGAAGGGAGAATGAGGGAAAAAGAAAATTCCAAAGAAATGTCATAAAGGGGGGAAATATGGGGATTTGTGGTATTGAAATTGTAAACAAGAACGTACTCAACAATATTCATTGAGACACATACACACATAGTTAGAGACGAGACCGACCGACCGACATCACATCAGAGTGACAGACAGACAACATCCGCCGTAGTATAAATTTTTTGCATCATGACAAATTTAAATGAATTGTATATTATTTTCAATCAGTTGTTGTTGTTGTGGTGGTGGTTGTTTGGATTACACCAATATCAAATCAAGTGTATGTGTAGTAAAAATGGTAGCGAAACAGAAAATAAAACAAAAAACAGAAAATATTGATTTAATAAAAACACTTGAGATGCAATCAATAAACAGCAACTTACCGTGAACGAGAGTCTCGACGCGACTTGGAGCGGGAGCGCGAGCGAGATTCACGCTTCGAAACGGAACGGGAACGAGAACGGGAATCATCGCGTTTCACAGAACGTGAACGGGAGCGGGAACGTGGTGATTTGGATTTCGATTTGGAAAGTTCACGAGATTTGCTGTAACAATAAAACGACAGATTAGGATTAGGACGACATGTTCGACGACATCACGGTAAACAATTATACTTACTTTGAACGAGAGCGTGAACGGGACTTAACTGGGGACTTGGATTTGGAACGAGCTCCACGTGATTTGGATCGGCTTCGTGACTTTGATCGAGAACGCGAGGAGCGACGAGAGCGGGAGCGCGAACGTCTGCGAGAACGTGATCGAGAGCGTGAACTGGATGAGCCAGATTGGCCGCGTCCACCACGCCCGCGACCGCTTCGACGGTCTTCAACCAGACGTATGCGGCGACCGTTCAAATCAGTATCGTCCAATTTCTCGATCGCAGTCTTCATGTCAGACAACGAAGCGAACTCAACCACACTGCAAAAAAATCAAAATTTTGTCCATTAATTATAAATATAATATATAAATTATATAAATAGAGCGCAAGAATAAACTCACCCCTCATTACGTCTTTGCTTATGGGCATCGGCATATGTGACTTCTCCAGCTTGACGCATATAATCTTTCAAATCCTTTTTATCCAAAAAATATTTGCGAATAAGTGTCATAGAAAAAAGAAAACAAAAAGCAAAGAAGAAATATTCATTAGCTAATCAGATTGCAGAGTACGACAAGAGCAACACATTGTGAATTGAATAGAACCGCTTCAGCAATTTACAATAGCGGAGAGAGAGCTCAGGGCTCAAAAGGAAAATCGAGTTATTGCCTGCCTATAGTCATCCCTGTCGATAGTATGTGCTGCCTGAGCGGAACTAAGTGCCGGGGAGGTAGAAAAACTTAAGCATCGCAACTACAAGGACCAGAAGTAGGCTGACCGACCGACCACCATTGCCCTCCTTGTTGAGCGAAGAAATCCTGTTATGCGAGCGAACACGACGAGTTCTTGGGGGGTATAGAAGTGCCTGAAATGCCTCCTCCTTTCCAATAGCAGCCATGAGACTATGTAAATGCTGTTGCGTCTATTCAATTGCTTGTGTTTGAAACTCTTAATTTGTGAATATATTAAAAAAATTTCAATAACAATTACTATAATATATTAAGAAAACGAAAAATCAACTTTTTTCTTGACTTGTTGAAAGAAGTTCTTACTTAGTACATTTTCTGTTTTTACTTGTAACGTGTTTCGTGTTCGGACCAAATCAACAACCAGAGATTACGTCTGTCGTCGTCGTCGTCATCATCGACCAACTGACCAAGTTTACACACACACACGGACACGTGAGGAACACAACAATGTTTAGTGTTTGAGATGTGGGTGTGGTGGATAGTTGCAAGGTAAACGGAATTTCTCAAAATGCTGTAAATCTGGTCAAGTTGTAGAGAGACGTTCGTCGTTCACACATGGCACCTCAGTATTAACGACGCACATAATCATTTTAGTTTGGGGGGAATTTTGTGGGGGCACACACACATCATCATCACCATCCTCATTTTGGTCCTCGTCTTGTCTTACAAAATTGGGGAGATTCGCGGCAAACGAGCGTCGCTCAATCGTCGTCATCGTCGTTGTGTGTATTGTTTTCCAATATACTACACTAAACGACGAAAACAGTACACATCTCACACACAAAAGGAACAAAAGTACAAATAACTGCTCTGCGTTTAAACCATAAACATGATACACAAGCCAAGCCAGAGAGGAGGAGGAAGAGTCAGCGCGCTGCTACAATATAGGAGGAGTAACCAAAACATCCTAGATATATGTATTAGCACAATGAATTGTATTTGATAGCGGGGGGCTGCCTCAATATGGGACGGAAGGCCGGGCGGGCGGGATACGACGACACAAGTCCAGAGTCATGGCCAGTAATCTGGGAATATGCCAGAGGAACAACACCAACTACCCTCCTCATCATGCGTTCTTTGAAAAAGTTTCTGATCTGTCTGTCTGACTGACTCTAGGGATGTATGCGCATTGGGCCAAACCATTTTCGCAACAAAACGTTCGCCAGCGTTTACTGAAAAAGAGAAAAATTGTCAGCATGCCTTCTCATAACAAAAAGACATGTTTATTTTTTGTGGGTGTGTTGAATTTAGGAAAACCGGCGCTGCATCACACATCCGAAAGCCCTCAAAAGTCCGCTGGGATACACCGGACATCAGTTATCCATATATATGGCCATTTGACACGACGACTTGATAAGGCTCTGTCGGTCGTCGTCGTCGTCCTCATTATCATATATCATCAAAAATTGTCATCAATCAAGTCATTTAATAAAATCCCACACACATTTTGACATTTAACTTGACTGGAGTGGAAAGCCTTTAGCTCTTGGATATTGTTGTTTGTATTCGTTTTGTAGGTTTTGCACAGTTCATCATCATCGATCAGGAAGATGTGTAGAATCCACCAAACAAAGAAACTAGGCAAAGAAAGACTTTGTTGGAGTCTTGTTTTATTTTCATTTGGTCTTTGTGTTTGTGTTTCAGACAGCATAATGAGAAGAGCCCTCCTCTACTGTTTCCTCCAAAGCCATCATTCATCAAAAAACCCACTCGATATATGGAACGAAAGACCACCACCCTGTTGGTTTTGTTAGCCAGCCTCTAATCCAACTGAAATTTTAGTTTTGTGTATTTCATTAGTTTTTTGTTTTTTGAAATTCCCATTGGGACGGACTTCAGGCACACGTCTCCATTATGGCTTCAATTTAAGATCTTAAATGGCCAGCGAACGGAACTGAACGAATACATGATATATAGACACAAAGCTTTAAATTCTAAAATTAAATGTTTATATGGCAAAAATATTAATGTTTAATCGTGTATTCATCATTTTTTTGATTTATTTAAAATACCTAAAAAATGTCGGTAGGTAGCTCATCTTGCACAACCTCTCAAAAGAGACACACGCACCCACACGCACGTATAAAAATGGTATACGAATTTCATCATTATTATGACAGAAGACTACAGTGTATTGCACTGGAAGCAACAAAAACAGGTTGGGTACAGAAATACATAGAGCAAATGTGTACATTTGTCCCTCCCTTTTGCTTGCTCCCGAGCTATACAGTATTGTGCCAAGAAATGATGAAATTCCCGTTTTATAGAAAGTGCGTGCGGGCACTGGACACAACAAAGAATGGGATAATGTAGTCTTGGGATGGATCGCAACCACTCGCGGTCGGTCGTCTTCATCCGAATTGTGGAGATATTTGTATGAATATGCCTCTCATCATAATGTAGCCTAGAAGCAACAAACCAACCCACCAATCCATGGGTGACTTCTTTGGAGCCAATGTATCCATAATTTTGATAGAAATTATCGTCGATGCGATGCAGTTTGTTTGTTATATTTAGTGCGTAGTAGCCGCCGTGTGAAGTTTGTTATGGTAAGCCTGACATAAACTGCGTTACACTGGACCTGGCTAGGCCGGCGGCCATCAATGTTGCGCTGTGTGTGTATATATATGGGGGTACTATTTACTTTTGGTCCCTGTCAAGTTGCCAGTCAATCATCATGGTCTCTGGATTTACACACAATCAACACTCACAACTCGCACACATCAAAAAATAAAGATTGTAAAACAAACACGAACGCTCATGTTCAAATGAACCAATAAAATGATAATGGCATCTCTCCATGATGTGCATCATATTTTGTGTTCATCATCCTCTCGTTGGCCTTTTGATCGATCATCGCCCAAGATTAGATCTTGTTTTAGTAGTTCTAGTCACAATTCTCATATTGTTTTTGACCACTAGTAGAGTTAGGACGCGAGCTGTAGTATTTGAGGTTTGATGATGTACCCATGATTTGTGGCGCATCTCGGTTTTAAAATATTCGTTTTCTTTTTTTGTTTTTGGTCGTTTACATTTTACGAAATAGAAATAATAATGAAGGGGTAAAATGATAACAGTAAGTCAGTTTCTTTCGATTCTAAGCTTATATATATGTATATATGTACATAAATTTTTATGTATATAAAATATATATATGTACTAAATATATGTATAAAAAAACTAGTAAGGCAAAGGGGGATGGGGGGATACATAATGGATATGTTATTATTGCAACAAAAAATATATATTTAATAAAATTGGATGTTTAAACTTGGGATTTAAAAATGCATGCATTGTATTAAAAACATGACTTATTTTTAGTATAATTTTGGGAAAAAGTACATATCATTTGGGATTCAAGGAAATATAAAAAACGAATTTATGTTTGCAATGTATCATAAATTTGTTACATTGTTAAATATTTGATGGGTGGGTCTCTTCTTCTTCGTATGTTTTGAGTACTTTATTCAAAAATAAATTATTTATTGCTAAGTTTGGGGGAAGGAATATCTATAATCTACCAGTAGTAAAAAAAATAGTAATTGCTAAAAACATTCGAATACATACCTGCCAGCTAACACGACTGGACAAATTCTCAACAATAAGACGATATTCAGTGCGCAATGGAGGTCCATAACGTGAATTAGATCTGTTGTTATTTTTGTTTCTGAAAAATTGAAATGAAGAAAAATTAATGTATGAAAAATTAACAAATAGAAACATGATGGATTTATTATTTGTAACACTTTTTAAATCAAGTTAGAATGTTTTACATTCATAGTTATGGTATTCAAATTTTTGGACTTTGTAATTTTTAAACCAATTAAGGCTATGACCGATCCATCATTTTACAAGCGTGGGAAACAAAACATCGGCCTTGAGACCAGACAAAAATTTGACTTTTTATAAAATATAATTTTTAACATTGGTGATTCTAGATTTTTGGAATCGACTGATATAAGACTGATAAAAAAGAAAAATTACCAGCCGCAGGTATTGATAATTTTTTACTTGTTCTACATGAATATTTGATACAGCATTTTTAATTTAAGTACACATATATACAGAAAACAGTGTTCAAAGTGCCTATCCATGTGGCCTAGAGTCCCAATTCTTAAAATGTTTTTCTTTTTTTCAACAAAATGCGATGAAAAATTACGAAAAAAAAACAAATATAAAGAATTGCTTAGTAATAAATACGATGTTTTCATACTTTAATGCAATATAGCAATCACTTGCTAGTGACTGTTTTGGTAAATGATTATCCTGCCTGTTACTTATTCAATTAATTAAATATCGTCAGTTATGACCACACTTAATACTGCTGCTTGAGGCGGCTGCTAATCAAGCCACAAACATTTCTGTTAAAACTACCCCTATAGTGCCATGCATTATCATAAGGGAATATACATTAATATTATACTTACTTGTCATTGTAGCGACCACCACCACGACGGCCACTGTCATAGCGATCATATCTGTCCCGATGTCCTCCACCACCTCGAGCCGTTCCACGAGCTGGCTCAACCACAACTCTGAAAGTAATAAAAAAAATTTATTGTTAATTTCAACAAATTATATTTATTTTGTGAGTATAATAGATAGTACCTTTCACCAAGTAATTCTTTCCCGTTTAATTCGTAAACCGCATCGTCAGCATCACGATAATCTTCAAATTCCTGAAAAAAGACGAACCAACACACATGTATGAGCAAATTTCCCTTTTTGTTGTATGAGGTATTGTATTTTTTTTTCATTTCTTTAATAAACTCACCACAAAACCATAACCATTTTTGATTAAAATGTCTCTTGTTCTGCCATATCCCTTGAAAAAACGCTCCAAATCGCGTTCTCTTACACCATAGGGCAAACCTCCGACATAAACGCGTGATCCCACCATATTTTTCAGTTCAGCAGTAGTCTATTACTTTTTTGCGTGTCTACTTCCAATTCTTCCTTAAATCAATAAAATAAACGTCCTTTATATAATTAACAAAATTGTAAGCGAGGAGGAAAAAAAATCTACTATACGTTATCGCAAAAGCCGATATAAAAAATACAGTTCTGCGCAAAACACATTTTTTCTATTGAAATTGCAATATGGCGTCACCGGGTACAGAATTTGTCCATCTGCCAAACCAATATTGTTTTCGTCGGCTTGATTTTTATCCATTTTACAACAAATTTTCGCACAAATTCTCACCTTTTTTCGCTAAATAAATTTAGCTTAATGTTAAAAACGTGTTTTCCCGAAAACTATTTCTACAAATTTCTATAAAATCTTCACTTTTTAATTCCAGCACTACAATGATAACTCACGACGCCACTGAACGGAAGTAATGAACGAATACTTATGTGTATCACGAGTAAAGAGAACTGAGCCATACGTCTGAGAGTAGGTAACGGCGTTACTGTATGTACTGAAAAATTATAAGAATACGCCGATAGAGTGTAAACAATAATACAAATAGGAATAAAATGGAATAAAACGCGGTTTTCTTGTTTGGCAAATCTAAAGAAAAAAGGCGCACTTTTCATTAATGCGAGTTTTACAACAATAAAAATAATACTTTATTGTCTATATAAAGAAAGATATAGGTATGTGCGGTTGGCATTTTATTGAACATGTGCATAGTAAAAAAAGAAAAGGGATAATTGTGACCAAATATGCCATTCGTCTAAAGCAAGGGAAATATTTAAGGAAAAATTGGAAAATGGGTAAATTTTGATAGATAAATAGTACATATTTTTTTGACAAAATCTTCTAAAAAGTTTGTTTGAAATCTTGAAATGGTTTTTCATTTAGATTGAGTTAATATTAAACAAAAACAACAAATTATGTAGCGTCATCTGAATTGATTGTGTTGTTTCATTTTCGAATAGTTCCTCTATCAAAAGTTGGCAACACTTACATGTAGCTATTTTCATTGTCGCTGTTCGATTGCAACGCATTTCAAATATCTGGCTTTGGAGTACTCGGTATATTTATAGTGTATTTAAGTTGTACTTAGTTTAGTAAACCCAATGAATTTTGTCAGCTCTATTGCATTTATGTCGAATAAATCTTCAAAGAGGAGGAGGATATACATTTTACCAGTAAACCTGCAAATTTGCATATGTCTGAACCGATTTCGGAAAAATCAAATATTTTATAAGATATATTAAGTTTACATTGTACCGGATTTCCTTCACCAAGTGGGTTTCAATTGTCTATTTCATTGTATACATGTCAAATAAATCCTCATAGAGTAGGTTAACCCGGTAAAAGTTTTAATATAAATGGCGTTTAAGGTTTTTTAAGATTTAAACCAAGGCCTATAAAAAAAGGTCATCAAAATTCACTTTTGTGAATTGACTTCTATTATAAAAACGTAAACAAAGTCGAAAATTCTTGACATTAGACTTGAGAAAAAAAAAACAGCAGCTTTCCGATTTTTTAAAACACAAAGCTAAAACGCGAAAAATCAATGAAAGGTTATGATTTCTTTCCAAAATCCAGTATTTGTTACATCCATAACAAAGTAATTACTTCAAGACGGACGCATTAAAAACATCGTTTTCATTTCAATTAAATTTGAATATTTTTAAATTTATTTGACATAATATTCTAAGCAATTGCAAATTGTAATGAAAATTATTTATGGATAAAACAAACATTTCAATTTATTCCCTACTCGATTTAGGGAAGAAATTTAACATTTCATTCATTTTTCGTGTTTTAGTTATGTGTCGAAAAATTGCCTACAGAGTTGCATTTTTGTTTTCACGCCACTTGATATATTTTTTTTGCATTTGAACACATGTGTTATTTGCATAGACAACTTACTGGATAACATAATAAATAGGCCTTGATTTTAAGCAAACAAAATTACACCCAAAAGTTCTGCTGTTAGTCACACGAGAAGATTTTCATGACAAAATTTCTTCTCAATTTCTTTAAAAATTTCATTGTCGTTTATACACGCAAATAATGTTTGCGTCAAATTTATGAATTTTCTAATTGTTCCCCACATTTTTTTCTCGTTTGACCATTGTTCATGAAAGTTATTTATTTATTTATTTAAACTCTTACATGTACACAAAGCCTATAATTAATGGAATTAAAAGAAAAAGTTTAATTATGAAAGGTACTCTTGAATTTTTTGATGAAGCTATAGCCATGGCTTGCAATGGAGACATTAAAATTTTATTTTAATTTGTACAGATATTTTTTGTTGATTTTAATTTTATTAACTGACTAGGCGTTTGTTTGCAGACAGAAAACTATGGTATAATAATAGGAGGTAACAGCAAGTGTTGTTGTACAAAAAACGATACAACAATCACATGGAAATTTGTTGTTGTAAGTTCTACTAGTGTCACCTTATTTGACAGAAAAATGTAAACAAACAAACAAATTATCATTAAATTATTTTTATTTTGAAAATGAAATATTTTTGAATCCTCAAAATAAAAATTGAAAAACATGAATGAAAATCTATAAAATGTATATTTCTATCGCTTCCACATCTTTCCTATAATTGAGCCATTACCATATATATGTGTAACACATATGAAAATGCTGGGAATAGCGAGTTGTTCCTTGAAGAAAGATTTGCTTCCTCAAACTTTCCCAGCAGGCAGATTGAGTAAATTGAATACGGGAGGACATTTAATAAAGAACAAATTCGAATTGAATGCGTTCCCAGTTTTCCTGTTGGGTGATGTTTAAAAACATAATTTGTCAAATTCATATTGACACTAATATTACGTTGGAATCAAATCAGCTGGAATTTTCTGTTACCTTTTATAATTGTACCATGACAGAAAACATAAAATGAAAGTAAATGTAAAACTTTTCTGCAGCGAATTTCAGTTTTTTAAAATGAATAACGAAATAAAAGAAAATTGAGGAGTACAAGAATATCTGCACGACCTTTTATTCCTCTAAACTCATTCGCCCATAAACTCAATTTAATTTAAAACAAAATTTGACCGTGTGACTAGTAACTAACTAATGTGTATGGTGTAAACACATTATTGTACATAACGACGCCGCTTTGAGTAAAATAGACGCCGTTAAAGTACCTACACTGGGAAACACATTTACAACTGACGTCGTTAACTAATATTATACCGACTCTGTGCATATAACGAAAAGGCGTTCGGGTTAATAAATGAAATTAGGGAAAGCAGTTTTCATTACGTTGTAGGACGCCGCCCGGTAAACTTGTGCATTTTAATCGTGGTAGCTTCGTCGTAATTTTCGGTTCATTAATCAACACAAGGTTCTAATTTCCAACGGGAAAAATTAAAATACAAACGTGATCTTTAGTTTTTCGAGTGTTCTTTTTTTATTAAATTCCCAAATACAAAATGTCTGACAAACAAGAAAATGGAAACTACAACGATGACGAGGTAAGAATTAAGAACATAAAAAATGGTTTTCATTGCAAAGCAGTTGATTAAATATCTCCTAATGAAAATGCATTTCATTTTTAGAAAACTATATTTTCTCCTTTGCCTACTCGATCGATTTTTATTTTTGTTAGAAAACTAACATATTGCAAAAAAGAACTGTGTATGTATACAATGCGTCTTTCGGTGAAAAATCAAAATGGCTACCGCCTTTAAATGTGGCTGTACTTTCTATAAAAAAATTAGGTTTTTTTACCCACATTAAATGTAAAAAATGCAATTCACAGCTACCTAAGGTACACATACAGACAGGCACACACACAGTTCTTTATTTTATTAATAATTGTTCTTTGTGGTAGAAAGATAAACAGTTATTAACCCCATTGTTCGTGTTGAATATATTTGTGACAATGCGTCACTTTTTAAGAAAGTTTTGGTGTCGTAGTTCCATTTTTATTAACGTATGTTTTTCAATCTTTTCTTTAGCCCATCTCCGAGCCTGAGCAACTTCGCAAATTGTTCATTGGCGGTCTCGATTACCGCACCACAGACGAAGGACTGAAGGCCCATTTTGAGAAATGGGGCAACATTGTCGATGTTGTTGTCATGAAAGATCCCAAGACCAAGCGTTCCCGTGGTTTTGGTTTCATCACCTATTCGCATTCCTACATGATTGATAATGCCCAAAATGCCCGTCCTCATAAAATCGATGGTCGCACCGTTGAACCGAAACGTGCTGTACCACGTCAGGATATTGACAATCCCAATGCCGGTGCCACAGTCAAGAAATTGTTTGTTGGTGGTCTACGTGAAGATCACGATGAAGAATGCTTGCGAGAATACTTCAAAAGCTATGGCAATATTTTGGGCATCAATATTGTGTCGGATAAGGAGACTGGCAAGAAACGCGGTTTTGCCTTTGTCGAATTCGACGACTACGATCCCGTCGACAAGATCATCTTGCAAAAGTCTCACACCATTAAGAATAAAAATCTGGATGTAAAAAAAGCCATAGCTAAGCAAGATATGGATCGTCAGGGAGGGGGTGGTGGCGGCAACCAAGGTGGTGGTGGCCGTGGCGGTCCCCAGGGTGGACGTGGCGGACGCAACAATGATCGTGGTGGCAATCAAGGTGGCTGGGGAGGTAACCGTCAAAATGGTGGCAACTGGGGTGGCAATAACTTCGGCAACAGTGGTAACTTTGGTGGTGGTCAAGGTGGCGGTCCCGGCGGTTGGAATAGCCAACCGGCTCCTTGGAATAACCAAGGTAATAATTGGAATGGCAATGATGCTGGATTTGGTGGACCACAACCCAATGGTGGTGGTGGCGGCTGGGGTAACAATGGTGGCGGCGGCGGTGGCAACTTTGGCAATGACTACCAACAAAGTTATGGTGGTGGTCCACAACGTAATAACTTTGGTAATAACAGACCGGCACCGTATGGATTCAACAAGGGTAAGTTTTGATTTTAAAATGCCGGTTGTCAGAACAGCAGCAGGACTAACACATTTTGTTTTTATTTGTCTTTTAGGCGGTAATCAAGGTGGCAATCAAGCCGGTGGTGGATTTGGTGGAAACAACTACAACAGTGGTGGTGGTCCCGGTGGCGGTAATATGGGTGGTGGCGGCGGCGGAAATAGAAGATACTAAGTTAAGGTAAGTTTTATGAGGGGAGATAATGAGAGGGAGAGGGGTTGGACGATGAAGAAAATTATTTTTTTTTAATTAAATGTGATGATGAGGAAATAACAAAGATTTCAACACTTCAAAGTAAAATGTTTGCTATAAACAAACGTAAAAAAATTGATATTTCTTCTAAAAAATCTTTCCATATATTTCATATGAAGAAGTTATAAATCCTTTATATGAAAATTTCTAAATCTTTTTTAAAAAAAAAAGAGATTAATATGAAAAGTAACCAATTACAACAAAAATGTTCAGCCTAAATCGTTTAAAGCGACACAGATTTTTTTAACGGTATACCGTTATAACTACTGCATCCGACAGTGTTGAAAATGACGTTAGCAAATTTTTACTGCATAGATACAATTTGGATTAACATAATTCGAACCAACTCCTAGTTTTAGTATATATCAGGGACCGAAAATAACAGTTATTTTTTAAAATGCGAACAAAAAAATCTTGATGTTAGAGACATGGGACACCAATATACCAATAGATTCGTACTGAGGAGCCCATTAAGGATATTGAGTGATCTTGAGAAAACACTCTCAGTTCCCATGTTAAGGATTATTTTTTAACGGAAAAAATAAACGTTGATTTTTAACTGTTAAACATGATTTTTATTTTTTCCGTCAAAAATAAAAGTCTTTTTGCGATTTTTATTTTTTCCGTCAAAAATAACAGTCTTTTTGGGACTTTTATTTTTTCCGTCAAAAATAAGTCTTTTTGGGATTTTTATTTTTTCCGTCAGAAAATAAAAGTCTTTTTGGGATTTTTATTTTTTCCGTCAGGAAATAAAACTCTTTTTATGTAAAGAAGTTTATACAACTTGTAATCTGTTATAAAATTACAATTTATAAATCTCTGTCCTTATTACAATAAGTGTACACATAAGTAATCAAGATCAAAGGTAAAAAATATTTGTTATACATTTTTAAAAAATAGTCTAGTGTACCAAATCATGAATATAAATTAAAGAATCATTCCCCTGACTATTAGGTCAAAGGTTATATAACTGGTACCAAACTCTATATGTTTATTTACGTAAAAAGGCTTATTTTCTGACGGAAAAAATAAAAATCACAAAAAGACTTTTATTATTGACGGAAAAAATAAAAGTCCCAAAAAGACTTTTATTTTTGACGGAAAAAATAAAAGTCCCAAAAAGACTGTTATTTTTGACGGAAAAAATAAAAGTCCCAAAAAGACTTTTATTTTTGACGGAAAAAATAAAAATCCCAAAAAGACTTATTTTTGACAGAAAAAATAAAAATCATTTTTAACAGTTAAAAATCAACGTTTATTTTTTCCGTTAAAAAATAAATAATTAAAGTGGATTTTTTTATTTAGGTCACATAATAACAGTTATTTTTTACCTGATTTGATATAAGTTATAACCGTTACGGTCCCTGGTATATATCATCAAAATAGTTTAAAAAGACATATCGATGGAACAAGTTGAGTTTAGGGGCTCATCTCCGATTTTTCTGAAATTTTTGTTTATCAAAAATAGCCGGCCTTCGGCCGGGGATTTAAGACTTTCTCCTATGGACAGGCGGAAAATTCGGCTAACGCATCAACAATATTTTTTAAACTATTTTTTTCTAAATAGCTATGGACAGGTGGAAAAATTGGCTACGCGATTAAAATTTCCTTTATTTCAAAGTTGTTCTTATATAGCCGGCCTTCGGCCGGGGATTTAAGACTTTCTCCTATGGACAGATAGAAAATTCGGTTATGCGATCGAAATTTTCTTTTAAATAAACATGTTTCTCCAAATATCCGTCAATATTACGATTGTCGGCCCATAAATGTCCAAGTTATCAGCATATGAATTACGGAACTTCAGAGGTCCATATTTCGGGAAATATGGGTTTCCCCCATGAATGTCATATATTTTCGTGATCAGGGAGACGAGATCTACCTGTGGTAAAAATTTCAGAAAAATTGGAGATGAGCCGCCCCTAAACTCAACTTAAGCCCTACGTTGTTGATAATGACATTTTCAAATTTGGAATGTGTTTTAATTTAATTTTTCATGAATGGGAATCTAGCCACAAGGCTAAGATCGGTTCCAGAAACCACTATACATTTACTACTCCAAAATATTTGTTATTTCGAACATCACATTTAATATATATATATATATATTATATATATATATTACATTTATCAGCGCTCTGTTGTACCCAACGAAAAAAAGAAAATTCAAATTTTCGGTCATCAAAACGCTGACAACTTTTTACAATTTTTTGTCTTCTTATAAATTTATTTAAAACCTAATCTGATTATAAATATTTTTCCTCCGTAAATAGGTATAATATAGCAAAGACATAATAACTATCAAGCAAAATGATAAAGAGGCAGGCAGGCAGGAAAAAACATGCAAGGATAAAACAAGAAGAAGATGATGTGTGAGAAGGAAGATTATAAGAACACTCTAGGCTCCCAAACAAACAAACAAGCAAAGGTATATGCAAGGCAGACAAACTGTAACAGGCAAGGCAAGGCAGGCAGGCATATCGAAATTATAGCAGATATATTAAGTAAGCCTAAGTTGTTGTGTAGTAGTCATCATCTGTACTGAGATGCTGCTATTAAATACAAAACATTTCATGTTCAGCCTGTATAGTATTGAGACTGTTGGAGTTTTGTGAGAGAAAGACAAAAAATTAACAAAACAAAAAGTCCCCCGATATGTATATTAACATCTTCCCAAAATACGGAGATCGGAGATCTCGGAATGTCACATCTTGTTCCTCCTTACAAAATATCCAGCTTTTTTGTAGGCTAGCTAAGCATTGTCTCTTTACTCACCTAATAATAATTAAAATTATTTATAACAGAAAAGAATTGAAGACACTCCTCCTCGTATATATATGCATTAACTTGTGTGACAACTAAGATTTAAAGAATTTATTGTTGTGCCCCCCATACACCACCCACCACAAGTACATTTATATATAATTCGTAGTTTAGTTGTAGTAGTATGTATAATTTTTTTATATTTAAACTTCAGAACAACATTTTTCATTTTACAAAAGAAAAAGCTAATGGATTTCTCTATTTTTGAGAAATCCTAGGAAGTATAATGTTTTATAAAACAGAAGAAGTAAAGGCAGCATTTCATGTCAAATACTAATACAAAAAAAAGATCAATATCTTAAACTAAACATTTGTTTTTATATTCACAAAAAAAGAAGATGAGAACAACTTCCACAATTAGTTTCACAACCTTGTTTTATTACATGAATTGTTGGTAATGGTTGTCTGCTGGGAAATTGATTTTTTTAAATACAACAAGAAAAATCATCGATATACAAAAAATATTTTTCTTAGATTTAAGACACTTTTCAATTTCATATAATCTAAAGGAAAGATAATGATAAATAGAGAAAAATAGAAGAAGAAAAAAATACTAAAACAGCAGCCCCAACTAAACAACCTTTTGTGTAAAATGTAATTAATTCTTTAGCCCAATTTCTTTGATGTGTGTGCTGGGTGTTACCCAATTTACATTGTTGGCAGTTCTTAATGAAAACAACACAGGTCAGTAGTGAAACAATAATGTGAGACTGTTTTATTTATATATAAACTATATAAGCAACAACAACAACAAAATGTTGATGGACTGATGTGATGATTTGATTGATGATCGCTTGGTGAATTTTGAAGTAATCGAAAGAAAAATTGTCAAGAAAGAATATTCTGTAACTACAAGGAGAAGGAGTTTATTTTCATAGAATTTAAGTAAGATCTTTAGCTAATAAGGAGCAACAAAATAAACAAAACAAAGAAAAAACATAAAACAACAATCACGACAAATATAAAAAGAAAATCAATAACAAATTAAAACGTAGGTGTTATTTTTATGCGCAGAGTTTCTAGGCTTTCTAGCTGTGAGAAATCAGGAAATATGTAAGTTTATTTATTTGTATATAATTGATAATTTATATTCTTATTCTCGATATTAACAGTCCGTCGGTTTGAAGAGTTTTGTGAAAAAATATGTTTTTTGAGCCGAAACTCTATTTATTGATGCTTGAATGAAATGCAAGTAAAAAGTTTGAAATTAAGAATTATTCTATTAAACGACCACATCGGGATTTTTGAAACAGAGAGATATTTTGAAGTTGAAATAGATATTTTAATGATCAAGCGATAAGAGTGCAAACGATTCAAATTCAGACCTATCGTTGGAGCCTGGAAGGCAATCCGAACACAGTGAATCGACCGTTAGACTGGTCCATTGAACGGTGAGGTGATTTTTTTCTGACAAATGATTTACCAAAATGCACTTGCCTTTATTTGCCTTTTGGGCATCCCCATCCATTCTCACAACATGTTCCAACGTCGTCGCTGCAGGTCGATACGACTGACAATGCCAATGTCTGAGAGTAGATGGTACAACTCATTCGACGGCGATATTCAAAGTCAACGCAGATCGGCCCATAGAACTTTCGGATAATTATTGTCTCAAACATTTTAAGAGCTGCCCTATCTGCTTACGCAAGTACCCATGCTTCAGATCCATGCACCAAAACGGGTAGTATCATCGTCTTGTAAAGTGTGAGTTTGGTCTGACGGGAGGTGGCCTTGTTTTTGTTTTTTGAATTGCTTACATAGACCATAGTAGCATCTGTTGGCCAAAACTATTCTGATTAGTTTTATTTATGGCGGTATCGAGGTATATCAAATCTTTAACTATCTCCAAGCTGTAGTTCTCATGTCCCACACTTGGTCCGAGTCTACTGGATCTCTTGGGCGTTGATGCCATCAATTTGGGATTCTCGCCATTTACTGTGACCCACTTTGACAATGTTCCTCTAGCAATGTTCAACCCATTATATCAATGTCATCGGCGTAGGCGAATAACATGTGTTGTTTGGTGTACACTGAGTGTCATTTCCAGCAGGATGTTAAAAGGGTCTGAACTCTCGTTTGGTATTGAAGGGCTCCGAGAGGTCCTTTCCGACTTTTAACTGCTGACCTTTTGTCCGTTAAAGTTTACCAGTATAGCCGAACGCAGACATGATTTTAAACACCTCTGAACGGATAAGTCTGTCGATATGTATGTTTTTTCGTGGGTCTTTTCCAAGATTTGGCGCAGAGTGAAGATTTGGTCAATGGTAGAATTGCCAGATCTGTAGATCCAATAATATCATTGACCATTGGTCTCAGTCGTTCATGGGAAGGAGACTAATTCCCCTATAGTTGCCACATATCCTCTTGCCTCCTTTTTTTTGTGCACGGGACACAGAATGATGAGGCTCCAATCATTTGGCATGCACTCCTCTAGCCAAGTTGTACTAATCAGCAGGGGCTGGTTGGTAATCCATCGGTACCTGATGCTCTATTATTCTTCAGCCGATTGATTGCTATTCTGACCTCATCCTGGCTAGGTGGGTGGTACGCAATATATCATCTCTTATTAGTTCTGTTCTTTCTTTTCAAAATGCTCCTTCCAGATCCTCAACACGCTGTATGTATGTGTCACCAGGTTTCCTTCTGGTGACACATACATACAGCACTAAAGCCTTCGGTTTGGTATTTTATTCTCCTGCTATAATTCATGACAGCTAAAATACAGTGCATAATCCTCTGATTTACGTCTGCCCTTTCCATCGCATTTCCTGTAAGACAATAATATCGGCTTCCGCCATAGCGAAAACTGCGCCTGTTCTGTACAACGTGCGCACATTCCAAGTGCAGGTTCGCAGATCGTGGTGCTTTATACGTTTGCTGTTGTCGTCCACATTAGAGGGGTTTGGTTTTCTTTTTCGTTGCTTTTTCATAGTAGAAGTTTTTCCTAGTGTGGGCAACTAACCTGAGGCGTCGGGGGTTTTTTTATGGTTCTTATGGGTGAACTCGCGGCATCCTATCATAAACTACAAAATATAAAGTATTATAAGCCTAAGAAAAATTAAATACCACCGATTATCATTAGATTGTAAGAAAAACATACTACTAACCAAAATTTCTGTAATATTTTTTGTTGTTGCAAGACTGATGACATTTCAACAGCATTCTCGAGTTGAGTTGTCTATTACTACAACATCAAAACAACTGGAGCAGTTACTGATCTGATATAATAATGCCTAATATGGTGCGCACGACGGTAAGTTGATATTCCTATGTAATGAAAATAATTGTATATGTAAAATACTAAAAAAAATTGAATAAAATAGCTAATTTGAAATAATTTAAATGTTGTATTTTATTTAAATATAGATTGTAAAATTTTATGACAGATTAATAGCATTAATTTACGGATTATGGTGAGTATTATGCTATGACCACGGTCAGCAGCAAGGGAAGATTATCGGATTTTCTGAGAACATTTCTTTAAAGTAAAAAGTGACAAGGGGGAAAAAATTCCAAAGAAAATCGTAGAGAGCAGCAGCATGTATAAACCCAGACGTAGAGGGAACATTACTTTGGTAAACATGCTTTTGTCTTTGTCCATATGTTTGTAACAGGCAAAAAGAAACGAGATTTTTCACATGGTTTTTTTCCGAGAATATGCATAGAATCGCATCCTCAGTCGATTTATGCATGACCGTCGGTCCGCCCGTCTGTCCATATATTCTTGTAAACAAAGTACATATCTCATTTCTGATCCGATTTAGATGAAATTTGGCACAGGTCATTTATTTGGCCCCATTGAAATTGGAGAAAATCGGTTCAGATTTAGATATGGCTCCCATATATATTTTCGTCCGATTTTTGTAAATGGTGCACCAAACTCCCAATATTTGGCCGATTCAAACAAAATTTTGCAACGAGTACTGAATTAGGTCTAGATTGATATATGCCAAGTATATTTGACATCGGTTCAGATTTAGATATTGCTCCCATATATAGTTTCGTCCGATTTTATGTAAATGGAGCGCCACACTGCCAATATTGGTCCGATTAAGACAACATTTTGCACAGAGTATTGAATTGGGTTCAAATTGATGTACGTGAAGTTTTCTAGAAATCGGTTAAGATTTCGATATAGCTCCCATATATAGTTTCGTCCGATTTTTGGTCAAGGGTGCACCCACTCACAATATTTGTCCGATTGGTACAAAATTTTGCTCAGTGTAAGGAAATAAGTACATATTGATATATGCGAAGTTTTGTGGAACTCGGTTCAGATTTAAATATAGCTCCTATATATAGTTTCGTCCGATTTTATGGAAATTGTGCTACAACCCCCATATGTTTTTCCGATTGAAACGGAATTTTGCACAGTGTACCTAATTAAGTCCGGTTTGATGTCTGCGAAGTTGTTGAAATCGGTTCAGATTTAGATATAGCACCCATATATAGTTTCGTTAGATTTTTTGTAAATGGTGCATCAAACTCCCAATATTTGTCCGATCGGTTCAAAATTTTGCTCAGTGTACGGAAATAGGTCCATATTGATGTAT